CACACACACAGAGTCATATTATTATATACATGTATGTATATACACACACACACACACACACATACACACAAGCAAAAATAGTGGAAGATGGCTTGGCTCGGAGGCACATACTGATCAACAAAAAAACGAACGGGTAATTCCGCTCAACATCCGCTCATACTAAACAAGCGCTTTTGCTAGTTTTTTCATTCATAACAAGCAAGAAAAGGGAGGCTCATCACCACCTTTTGACAGTGACCCGCCATAAAGAGAGGAGAAAAAGGCCCGAGTCGGGCAATATAGGATGTATCGTCGGCAGTGCTGTTGTTGTTGTTTGAGAGAAAGTCCCCCGAGGGGCAATTCAAGAGAAAGCGTGCGTGCTAAAATCGTGCAATTGGATTGTTCTAAAAACTTTAACCTTATCGACTCCTTTCCGAAACGAACAACAAAAACGGCCACATCCGCGCCAAGGCTTTCTATTAAAGAGAACGGAACTTGTTCCGCCTGTTTCCTTGGCAACAAACCACCCAATTGTACCCATGGGAAGGGAGGCTGTGTTTGTGATTTATTCGATTGGATGTTTTTGACAGTTGGCATGTTTTTTATTTTTCAACAGAACAAGGGAAAATTTTAAGGTTTTTCCCTTTTTTTCTAAATCGAATTCCCCCAAAACGTTTGGATTTTTCCTTTTTAAAACCTAAAATTTTTAATATTTTTGGGATTTTGGGGCGGAGGGTTCGATTCGCGCAGCCTTCACTTTTTTGTTTTTTATTATTTTCATAGAGGGGGAACTACCAAATATCACATACACACACATGCAAGCATACAAGCACACACATACAAGCACAAGCACACACACAGACAGACATGTGAAATTATTGTTGTTTGACTGCTGGTAAAATGACGCTTGCATCGCATCCGCCCATCTCGGAGGGATTGTTTAATGAACGTGGATCTCGGAGGTTGCGGAACGGAAGGGGAGCGCGTGGAGGTCATTTTTGAATCTCTTTTTACTGTTGATAGACCTTGACAGAGTTGATGGCCCAGTATGCATCACGGAAGGCTTGCGGATTGTCGCGTACAAAAGCGATACAGTCGCCCGGGCAGGTTTGCGAAAAGACCGAGCCAGCCCAGTCCCCTTTGAGATGAGTTTTTTTTTTTTTTTGCATGTGTTATTGTTATGTATGGTATTTTCAAACAAACATTCAAAAGAATACATACCGCAAAAGGTCAGATTAATGACAATCTGCTGATTTTGAAAATGACTCGCAGGGCAATTGGATCCAAAGGGAAAGACTGCAGTGGGCTTTCCCCAGGCAGCAGGATTGGGATTCCCGTTGCGAACGTCCTGGGGCACAATGTCATGCCACCAGAAAAACACCTTGATACCACTAGCGTCCCATAGAGTTGCATACACACCACCGCCAATATTGTTGAATCCTTGCCCGTAGGAATTGGTATTCTGATCAACATTGGAGCAGCCTTGGTTGGGAAATTGGTTTGGTGCGTTCACATCACAGTTGAGTGCATCTGCAATCGCCCATTGGTCCCTGCCAACACCAGCCATCGTGCATCCCGCCGTAGTGTGCAAGGTAACTTGATTCTTGTTTTGGTTGTTGACACCTTCGAGAATGTCGATTTCTCCTGACGAAGGCCAGTTGGGACCTACCGTCCAAAAGGCCGGCCATGTCCCACAGCCCACCGGCATGTGCCCAATATCAGCAATGATGAGGGATCCTTGATTGTACGACTAGAAATGCGAATGAGAAAAATCATTTCAAACATACAGTACGCAGCTATATCAACAAAAACTTTACCTTGTTACTCGTCAACCTCACACTCTTCCTCCCACGACCCACCGCACGGTTCGTACTATCAGGACGAAGAAAAACCGTCTGTCCACTCGTTCCAATCAACCCCTGTGCCTGAGCCGTCCCGCGATCAACATAGTCAACATAACCATGCGTCGGATCATTGCCAGTGAAAAAAGAAAACTGATCAAAAAAGGAAGGACCGGACCAGTTATCGACGAGGCGAAATCCGTGCGCTGATGCGAGAGTGGATAAAACTATGAGGGCGGATGTAAGCTGCATGCTTTTGCTTTGTTTCTATATTCTACTGTGAGCTTATGTATGGGGATACCCAAAGTCGGTGGGGATTGCGTATTTATACTTATGCCCCTACCCGAGTTCAAGGAGGGTATCGAAAGGTATGACATGACAAAACCTGCATAACGTTTGTCACGGAATAAAAATCTTCGGATTCCTCCTCACACAATCCGACATTTGTACTCTGGCAGCTTTGAACGGCCAGCCGCAATCCATAAGTTCTGCATAAGAATCAAGTCGGTTTGCAAAGAATTCCTCTACAGTACAAATGGAATTCACGATCAACGCGCGTGTGTGTGGAGCACATGCGATTTTCTTTGTTAACAACTCTAGTCACACGACAATGTTGCGTACGGTCAACCACAAAAACGTGAGATGACCTAAAGTCCGTTTTTATGAGGTGGTTCATTTAGATGTTGAAAGTAGCGTAAAAGTAGGTCATGTACGACAAGCGCGGCGCAAGTCCCATCAGCGCACACACACGGCTTTGTGTGTGCGCATCTCCCATTTGCGCGGGTTTGGCTCATTATGTTGGTGAGGTAGATGTTGGGTGAGACCACCATGAAAAAGAGCAGGACTATAGCAGCACATTACACATACTACACACAAGTTGTTTTTACTATCATACATAATTTGAAGTGATTACTTTTGATCGGGACCAGTGTCATGACCTGCAGGGATTAACATATACTGATAACCTACAACACTAGAATTGCCGCTAGTAGTGCTAAGAGTGCTCATTCTTGGGTTTCGACCACGAGGACAAAAGGGCGACAAAAGCAATGGATGTTCTTCCTACTTTTACTGCTGATAAGGAGGAGGAATGGCCGGAAAAGTACAATATTCAGGCATGTGAACAAACCAGTTGTTTGGTCGGACGTGATTCCATTCAAAGAGACTATTGACAAAGGTGCCAATTGAACGATGATATCTTTTCAGATGAACTTTAATGTTTTACTGAATTTATGGATATGGAATTAGTCAGCCGTATCATAATGCCACACTTAAAAGTAACAACCATAGTGGATAATATGCTATGATTGCATATCAATTAACGAGCATAAAACACATGCAGCGCTGGATCAGCATGCGCTGCTTAGCGTTTATATTGGTGCAGCTTGCGATAGACTCTTTATTCGACGCAATTGGCACTAACGACCTCTATTTTTAAACAAATGCATAGGGGAGACAGAGATATGTTCCAAAACATCTCCCCAAAAAAAGAAACATATCCCAAATGCACAATCCAAATCATCCTTGTTCTCCAATCCTATTTTTAGAAGAAAGACATTTATACATGATTGCAGCTATTTCACATGTGCAAGCTGGGAGACTCTTCTAAATTCGCTCACCCCATTTTCTTTTTATCAAAGTTGTCTTTTTTTTGCATCTTTCTACTCTGGTTTTTACAGAGGACGTAGAACGATGACAGCCATGACAGCACTACGACCGGTCCCATTTCGAGAAAACTTTTGGGTAACTGCAATACCTTTTGGTTGGATGATTTCCAGCATTTAACATTGATTTTTCTTTTTGTTAAATGTTTAGGGGGAAGGCGATGCGGGTATGACGACCTTGATAGAGAAATGTGGTTGTAGCGTAGCAGATTCTGAAATCCTGCTGGAATTCTTCATTGCAAGGTAACAAAAAAAAACATCCCAAGACTTGATTTGAGATATTACCTGTTGACGCTTCTTTCAAGAGCCGAGGTAGAACAAGAGTATGCAAAGTCCCTGCAAAGTCTTGCGCACCGGTACAAGCCCACCCTCGAAAAACTCCACACACCCTCCCTTCTCACAACACTTGAAAAACTGCTCAATTTCACCACGACACTCTCAAGAGCTCATCGGCAATACGCGACCAAAGTGAATGAACAAGTCGTAGAGCCTTTACAGACTTTTATCGAAAGCACGCAAAAGAGGGTCAAGAAAAGCGTTGAAGGAGAGTTTGAGCGGGCAAACAAGGTTTTGGAAAAGGAGACGAGTGGACTGCAGAAACATGCTAGAGAGTTTATGGGCAAAAGCAAAGAGGTGTGGAAATCTGTTGATGGGATTATGAGGTCTGAAAAGGTTTGTTTTGTATTTGAGTTTGATGAGACTACCAGGCCTTTAGTATATTCTAACCTGTATGCATAACCAAAAAGACGGACAAGCTAAAGCAAGAAGCCGACCGCGCCGAATCCGAGTATCGAAGCGCCCTTACACGACTCGATAAAGCCCAAGACGACTGGGAAGACAAAATGTGCTCCCTCCAAGACACGATCCAAGAAACCGAAATGGCACGCATTAAACTCTACAAATCGATATTGACCCAAACCACCGAAACCCAATGCGAGATCCTTTCTTCTTTTGCTGGTAGAGTTATGGACGGTATGCGGAAAGCCGCTGTGGAGGGTGTTGATCCTATTGGGGACTGCAATGAGTTTATACTGGCGTATGGAACTGGGGGAGATCGTCCCAGAAGAGTTGTCTTTCAAAGTGCGGTGGAATTGGCACGAAGTGGAGATGCTGGGTACATGAAACGATCGCCGTCCAGAAAGTCATTAAGCGGATCCATGGGACGACGATCGTCGTCCAGAAAGTCATTAAGCGGATCCATGGGACTATCTTCTACTCCATTGACACCACAGGAAAAACGCAAGAGTGTCAAAAGAATCTTACCTGAAGCCCGCCGGAAATCGGTTGCAGAGCTCTTTGCAAGTACCAATAAGCAACAAACACAAGAACCTACCATGTACCGAAGTAGATCGAGCAACCTCCTTTCTGATACATTAGCAGATCCGTCAATCCTGCCACCTCTCCCTCCCAAAACCCAACGCCGCGAACTACTCCATGCCCTAGGTCTATCTGACTCGTCTTTATCAAATCCATCTACACCCTCCTCGCCCAAATCAACATCTCGCTCCTCATCCCGCTCCAATAACCTTCAACTCCCTCCAGGGACCATACCCTCCTTTGTTGCACCTCCTCGTGGTTCACCCCGTCCGGGCATCCAAGATACGTTCCGATGCACCGAGGAACGCCAGTCAAAGCATAATAAGTCAAAAAGTGGTGATAACTTGCACACTCAATTTGTATAACCCCCGCATTTATCTTTTTGAATTTTATGTGATTATTTCATTTTCTCGCTCAAAATACATCCATTCTTGATTATTGTGTTTGATTAAATGTTCTAATTATACGGTTCCGGTTCTATGCGTCTTATTCTTTTTCTTCTTCGTTCTCCTCTTTATCATCGTCATCATCAATGACAGCAAAATCCCACACTAGCAGCGACCGATCAAATGAACTCGTGATGAGTTTCGTCGATGTGAATTTTAGATTCCAGACCTGGGATGATTGTTGAGATACCAATACGACCTGTGCAGGTAAAAAGCGTACTTTTGGCATACCGTTTCAGTATGTTGTTTAAGAGTGTAGAGACATGACCCCGTCTTCATATCCCACACCTAGCCATCCAAATGCAAGCGAACAGATTGTGAGTACAGATGAGGAACGTTAAAGACATTGATAAAACAAAACGCACCTTGACACTCTTATCCGAACTCCCACTTACAATCTTTCGTTCATCAAATTGCAAACAAACCACCCCCATTTCATGTCCTAAAAGCGTTTGAAGACACTCCCCAGAGGCCATATCCCATACTTTGATAGAAGCGTCTTCAGAGCCAGAACAAATTCGTGTGTGATTGAATTGGAGGCAATAGACGTATCCTGTGTGTCCGGTTAGGGTGCGGGGGGTTGTGGGTGTCAATAACGACCTTGTAAATGTTGAGTGGTGGTAAGTCTATGGGAGATGATTGAGTTCCTTCTTTTTGGGGGGTTTTACCAGATTTTGATGGTATGATCTGCCGACCCAGATACAATCACTTCTTTTTCAAATTGGAGACAACAGACTGCCCCAGTATGTCCACTAAGAACCGATAAACACGCTCCAGTGCCCATTCGCCAGACCTAAGAACCACCAAAAATCCAGAGATTTCAACAAGAAATGTTTTAATAGTCAAACAACATTAAATACAAAAAAAAGAATCGTTACCCGAATATCACAGTCCTCAGATCCAGATACAACAACATCATCATCGTATTGTACCGAAACGATCTCGCCTTGGTGTCCTACGAGGGTCCGTAGGCATTCTCCAGACGATGTGTCCCAGATTTTCAGTGTCGTGTCAATCCCGCCCGTTACGACGTATTTCCGATCAAACTGAGAGAAAACGAAAAAAGAGAAACCCATATTAGAGAGACATTCTTTATATTGTAGTGTGTTGGTGAAGTGGTGTTACCTTTACTGCTGAGATGGTTCCTTGGTGCCCTACGAGGCGGAAATGGCATTCGCCTGTTTCCATATCCCACTGTCAAGAGTTGTTAGGAAGGTTGATGATATCAGGATTTTGAACAAGTGTACTTACCACTTTGCCGTCCTCGCCCAAGACGACCGAGACAACCCACGAATCATCAAATTGCATAGGTAGATTCCTCCCTACACAGCAAAACCAAGAAAAAAAACACATGAATGAACTGAAATACGTAAAACGTCAAAAAGACTACGAAAGCCAATGGAAAAGTAACGATTCCCATTATATCCCAACACACCAAAACAACAAACCTACCATTCCCCTCAACATCCAAAACACTCCTCACCTGACAATCTCCCCTCATCCAATTCACCCACGTCAAAAAATTATGTTTATATACATGTTTCCAAGGTGTCAATGAAACCTCTTTAATCATTTCTGTCCTTGTTTTCGAGATTGGATGCCAATCCTTTTGATTACAGAGACGTTTCCAGAGAATGTTATCTCTTAAGAGGGTGTTCCATGTTTTACAGACTTGAGCTGAGGAGGCTAACGAGGGTGTATCGAGGCGGGTCATGATGCTTTGTAAAAGCTCGGTGGGGAGTCGATGGGTTACGTACTTGTCGGGACATTGTGTTTTGGGGGGTGGGAGGGCTTTTTTGTGAGAGGAGCTGGATGGGTAGGGAGTAAAGGATGCTATGAAATGCGCTGGTACTCGCATGATTGGAATGAAAGACAAAACTTGAGAGATCTGTTCTTTCTGAAAGGGTTGGGATTTTCACGATACCCGTGGGTTTAAAACGTCAAGATGCTACCAACGCTACAATGACACAATGCAGATCCCCAATATTTCAAGGGTCACTTTCAACACATTTCAATTCGCTGTTGTCAACTTTCAACCATAAACACTTTTTCTCATCATCAACACACTGCTTTACTCCAAACTAAACCAGTTTACCCACTGTATGATATGATACCATTACAACGTCACAAGTGTTCATAAGTAGCCATACAATGGAAACCTATCGAAAAAAAAGGGAACACCGCCCCCCCTCAAAATCCTTCCAACTCAGATTTTACGTCAGCATATCACGTGATGCGGTCTGGGGGCATGATGAGCGCTACGCACACAGGATGGACTCGTGAGGGTATTCGACATGGGCAGACTGAGATCGTACGAGGATCCTCGTCGGGTGGAAGGTAACATTAGCCTGTCTGCTATGATTAATATACTATGTGAGGCTAATATGGAGTAGATATCGTTCCGTTCAAGTATCCACCTCCGAGTGAGGAATCCATGGGGGGATTTGATTGGAATGGTTGGGATTGTTGCGGGTAGGTTTTTCGGGCGGGTTTCTTTGTGGTTAATCTTTTTTATAGCATTTTGCTGATACTTTTTCATGTTTAGGTATAACAGGAATGGTGTTGCGCGTATGTTTATTTTTGCATTTTTAACTTGTCACATGCAGAGAATTCATGTCATTTTTTAGCTGCGGTGGGTATCTTGGGTCGCATTGGTAAGCAGTATCCTATCAGTATGCACGAGCAAGGCGAGCGAATCGGATGGTAGACAGGGTGCAAGTGGGATATCGTACGTAAATGAGCCAGATTTGTACTATGGGTTTAGCGGGTCATTGATTGGTTGTGTTCTATAGGTTTGCGTTTATGGCGATTATTGGGACGTATATGCAAATGATTGCTTCGGGGCAGTTGGGACAAAAGGAAAATGCTCCTGCTGCGTAAAAGAGATTTGTAGAGTTGATGGATTAAAGGTGTGGGAGTAGACTGGCGTGCAAGATCTGGAGGATTTATTGGAAGGTTTTTGGCGAGATATCATTGGCTTACCGGCAGCGAATGCAAAAACAGATGATATTTCTTTTGTTTACAATAGTACAAAATACGCACCACAATAAAACTACTTTAAAGCAATTACTCTGATATGCAAATGCTACTCCAACCCTTGCGCAAAAACAAAACTTTTTCTTCATCCCACCACTCCCTGCGACGGAGCAGCCCACCACGCAATCCCCCAAACAATCAGCAACAAAATCACAAAGATGGCCGTCACCTACAAACCCCCTCCATCATTAATCCCTTTCATAGATAAAAACACGAACGACATAAATAATGTAAACATACCAGGACATCCAAGATCCATCCCCATGCAGATGGAAGGAACTGAACCAGAGCCCAGACGAGAATAAAGGCGAATGCGAGCCATTGCAGAATAATCGAGGTCTAAAAATTCAGGTTTTAGATTTAGGTATTTTTTTTTTTGTTATTTTGAGGGGAATGAGATACACTTACCCGAGTATACCCATGGCCAGACATGACCACCTATAAAGAAAACAAAAGTTGGCATCAATAATTGTACACAAAAAAGCCAGCACTACATAATATCCCCCATAATAAATAAAAAAAAACATTTTTTACCAAAGTCGTCGCCAAAATCGCCAAAAACCCACACCGAAAAGCCCCCGCAAACCTCCCCAACCTCCTCTTCCACCTCTTCTCTTGCCTCATTTCCATACTCTCCGCCGCCGCAATCGTCGACGTAGTCGCTGGAACCGTTTCGCCTTGACCACTTGTGGCTGGTGCCGATGTACTGGGTGCCAGGTATCGATCCCACATGGGTTTCAGTAGGTGTGCCAGGAGGTAGAGGATGTAGAGTGCGTATGCAGAGGCCCATGCAGCTATTTCGAACAAAAATGCAATGTAACTATGTTTTTTTTTGTCTATCTGGAATTGACGACTTTTTGCATACGTACATCGGATACGACCATTTGAGAACCCCTGCCGACCGTCGTAGAGTGATCCCCGGATTCCACCACCTGCGGGTGGTTGGATGGCATCTGACATGGTTATCACTTTAGCAAAACAAAACAGATAGTGGTATAAAGAACGATTTGCTTGTATGTGGGTTATTTGGGTCGGTTGGAAGTTTTTATAAGCTTTTTTTGTTGGATGGTGTGAGGCTTTTATGTGGGGGGCTTTAATGTGATCTTGTGTGTTGTGATGATGTTATACTCACTCGTCCCAACCACCGTAGGTATTCTTTCTTTTTTTTTGTTCTCAAGGTGGTTCTATGGGTTTATTTTACATGCGGTGCTGTAGGTTTTGGTTTGGGTCTTGAGAGATGGATATGGCTAAAACGTGCCTTTAATGCATAAGTTTTTTGAAAAGTGCAGATACATAGCATCCAGAATATTTGTACTCTTGCCCATGATGTTGCTCACATCGTAGCTTTAACTATAAAATGCAACTTGAACATTGACGTTTATCAAACATTCTTGAGTTGGTATTTTTGATTTGACGTTTTCTCGTAGCTTCGTTTTTGAATGCAGGACTGAACCGTGTCGTTTTTATCAAAAATACTAGAGTATTCTTTCATATTGCATTCTGTCAAAAACTACAAACCCTTGGTCATTAAACTACGTCCATTAGCTAGCCAAGTAACTTTTTACCAAATGTTACCGTTCCTGCACCCTCCATCATCCATCCCAAGTTATTCAAGACGGAAAACAGAGAACATTACCAACCCCTCCAAAATACACTTAACAAGTACTCTCAACAAACGAGAAACTAAAGTTTGAAAATACGTTCAAAAAAAAACTGGAAAACCATTCCAAGTCCCACATTGAAGAAACCGAGTTATTAAAAGGGATTTTTAAAACCCTTTGGATAGAGTTGTTCGTTTGGAGTTTATAGACAGTATTGAATATTTTCATTGTGGCAATTCCGAACCAGAACAGCGTTATGTTTATATTCTAATGATTTCACGTCCAGTATAGCTTTTTTAACATAGTCTATTCCCCTCATTGTCCATCTCCATTCGAAAACTCTGGCGCTGCCCTTTGGGAGATATCTTTTTGTTAAAGTGCCCAAAAACTTGCTTTTTTCTCAGTAAGAACATTTAGCGGAGGGGTTATCACCCAACTACCTAGTCACACTTTGAATTCGTTACAATCTCCCCTTGTCACCATGTTAACCCAAACTCTTGTCTTGCCCGCCAGTTACCCTCTACAACCACCCTTCCAAAAGACGCTATCGGATAACTAAAAGTGGACAACATGCCAGTATGCATTGGAGAAGAAATGATAAAGCCAGATTTTATGATAGGATTTGCTGAACACCCGACCTAAAGGCTGATGTCGGTGTAGAGAGACGGTTGGATGCAAGATTCATAGATATGTATGTTAAATCCATTGAATGTGACGGACCATAAGTCTTCGTTACAAATAAATGTGTTTTGCAAAAATATGCAAAAGTCGCATGTTCATTCAAGTATACAAACAAAAAAAATATTCCTCTGCATCCCCATCCATCCCAATATACAAAAAAAAGAAAAGGATATATCCCCACAAAAACAATTCCAATCCTTAATGCTTTGTCACAACCGTAATCTGCGACGTCTCGGGTGCAACCAACTGTGCCTTTTCGCCCCTTGATCCATGCGCAAGCTTGCCACGGTGATGATTGTGTCCCTTATTGCGCGTCATATACCACTGCACAGCAATGCCCACCAACGCAACAAGGACAATTCCACCCAATTCCAAGTAAACGCCTTTGGCAGGGACGTACTCGACGGAACCGCTCGCAAGGAACCGACGCAGCGCGTCAACAAGTCCCGCCTTGACAAAGACATCGATACCGACAAACAGGGCAAAAGCACCAGCAAAGGAGGTCCCAATGATCAAGATGGGACGTTCGGCAAAGAGGATCAGGATACCGAATACGACTGTCAGGACGACAATAAAGATTGTGCGGCCGACACCGTGCAAGAGACCGTCGTTGCCTAGTGAAAGGATCATGATGGCCAGGGTAAAGCCGAGCATGGCGCCAATGGCAAAGAGACCCAACCGCCAGACACACAAGAATAAGGATCCAATCAAGAGACCGACGATAATACTGACGATCAGGAAGATTAGGTCGCGGTGTGTGCCGAAACTCACGTTGCGGGCTTCGAGGGCTGAGAGGGTCACGTAGGCCAAAACACCTAAGAAAGACAAAAATCATCAATACTTGTACACCAACCAAAAATACAATACACAAAAACACTGTAGTACCTCCAAAGTAAAATCCACCGATAAAAATAACAGCTTTAAACACCTTGTGTCCAAAAAAGACAAACATGATTCCCGTCACCATTAAAATAATGGCTCCAACAGTGTTGTAGACGGTAATCTGGTTTAAAGCCGCTACACATCATGCATGTCAATACGACAAACCATTGGAATAGAGGGAATTACAACACTCCCTACCATTGATATTATCGATTGCCTTCCCTTCTGTATCGTTTGCTGCGTTTGCTTGGAGGGCCGCGAATTCGGGTGAAGGTTTATTGACGGTTCCATCTGATGCAGGGCTTGCTGGAGCAGCAGCAACAGCAGGAGCAGCAGCAACAGCAGGAGCAGCAGCAGGCAAAACAGCAGCAGGAGCAGCAAGGCTTGGTGTTGTTGTTGGCATAGATGCCGCAGCGGGTCGAGTCGTTGTCGTAGGCATCATGGGTGATGGGTTTTGAAAAGGGTTTGGCAACCGCTTAAAGTCGTCCTCACTCACAGGGGGCCATTGACCCTTGGGTGATGGAAACTGACCCTTTTGAGGAGGTACCCACCCCTCACCATTCACAGGCGGAACCTCTCCACCCCACCATTCCGGTCCATTCCTCTCTGGAGGCGGAATACCCGGCCCGACCCTCGGCACTGGAATCTCCTCCCAGGCCTGCTGATAGGGTATCCGTTCTGGTCGATAGGGATAATAGTACCTGACGGCTTCTTTAAACCCAGGGTGTCGTGCATCCCATAAGGATGTCTGGGGGCGTGCGCCGGCATGTGGTTTGTATCGACCAAAGCCGAGCACGGTGGTGCTGAATGCGAGTAGGAGGAGAACGCGGTGCATCGTCCCCGTTGAAATCATTTTGGGCTTAGAGTCCGCTTAAAACCCGTATACGTAGTATGATGTGCGTTACAAAACACTAGCAAAAGATGTGGAATTGGAACAAGGATGCTCCAAATCTTTCAAGCTCCTTTTGAACACTTTCCTTCAATCCCCCCCCGTCCGCAAAACCAAAAAGGCTCATCTTGCTCAGCCCACATATCGCCATGACTGTGCCTCTGTGAGAATGCGCAGTAACACAGCCACTGAACACTTCCGTTGAAATGTGTGCTGTGTGGTTTTTTAGATGCCAAGCAATATTATTCGTTATTTTGAAATATCTTGGCATGGCATGCAAGAGATTATGGGTTATGGGGAATGATGGGGCATAATGACTATTGATCGTGTGGGCACATTACATCCTGGCTGCATAACCGTATCTCGTATGGACAGGTCCTTGCTATGATACAGACTCCACAACTACACACTTTGAGCCTCATACCAAGGACATTTTCAAATCCAATGCAGCATTGTTGACGATCATGAATCGTCCTGGTCAGAAACACTCTCTGTAACAAACTCATCACATCAATTCACGCAATAACGTGTGTTTTATGCTATCCAGGAAGGGAATTCGTATATTCAATATGTGAATATTCAATCCAACACCACAACTTATTCCCCCCTAATAAACTTTATAAAAGGCTCACAACTCCACACTTCAGGCCTGACAGCAAGCGCATTCAAAAACCTCTCCAATGCAATCTGACGATCCTGTATCGTCTGTGGATCAAATCTTCCAAAAAGTTTCTTTTCTGGCAATTCCGCCACGTTCATTACATTCAAAGCTGGTGCTTGAGTGTTGGATTTTTTTGCATGTTGGAGTTGTTTACGCAGTGCGACAAATTCCTTGTATCGTCTTCGCGTGGAGATATTTAGTTGGGGGATCATGATAAGGTAGGTTGTATGTGTTGGGATACCCAGCGGGTTTGTGTGCGTTTTGGGGGATGTGATGTGGATGTGGGGATGGGTTGGCTAAAAACGTGTGTGTTTGAGTATCTCGTTGTTGGAGTAGGGCAAAACACAATATTCATTTGATCCTTACGAGTTGTGTATCCGAGACGCTATACCCAGTTGCCGTGAAATCTGTTGCCGAGGATGTGCATGATGATACGCTTGTTGTGTCATCCGGTACCTAAACAAATGCATGAGAACAATAACCCTCCGGGTGACCATGACGTGGGAGAGTTTTCAAACCTTTTCGCCATCATTTTCGACATAAGAGGGTATCAAAGGTGCATCAAGGGGTATCGAACAAATCTCACATAAATGCCTATACACCGCCTCCCGATCCGGAAAGCTCGTAAACACATACTATAAAAAAATTATTAACAACATTATAAGCCATACTGATGGTGAAGCACACATACGTTACCTCTACACCGCCCTCCAATCCAACCCCAATCCCGCGTCCACTCCCCGGTAATAGACTCTCAATCCGGATCCTACGTATCCTTTGTACGTCCATCACAGGGATCACCACGCATGTCTCTGAGAATTTAGGTACAAAGGCCAAGTGTGTGGGCGTTGTGTACATGGTGCCCCATGTTGAGGAGAGGATGGCGGTGGGGTTTGTGTGGATGCATGTAAAAGTATCGAGGACGGGTGTTGGGGGGAGGTTGAGAATAGATGGAAGCGTGGGCTGTATCTGGTGTGTTAATGTTTTCATCAATATTTACGTAAAATAGTCTCTTCTTTTACCTTTTCGTTTTCAATAGCGTCCTTTTCGCGCAAGTCGGCATCGGAAGGTATGTTCTCAAAGAAATTGGAGATGGGGTCAAATTCATCTCTGTAGCGTGGAAAATGGTGCTTGAGCGCTAAAATGACGAAAAAGTACCACCCGAAAATGAATTCTACCAAGCAACGAAAATGACTAGAGGTGAATAGGTGCAAGTGGATAACAAAGAGTGTATGGAGTTTGTACATACGGGAGCAGTAAAAGAGGGTAGGGAAAGGTACGGTGAGGAGGATGGCGATGAAAGCGGTATAAAAGAGAGCTGCTTGCGCTGTTTTTTCTGGGACGCGCCATACAAGTAAACTGTAATATCATTCGGACGCCGGGCAAACCATTACCACCTGCTTTTGAAAACGCTACAAGGTAAACAGGACACTTACTTTTTAACCTTTTCCAACACAACACTCGTATCCTCCAACAGCCCCAACCCTTCGCGCCCCGTCCCATACAAATCCCCGAGTGCCTTCCACCAAGCACTCGCACTCGCCGGCGCCCCATGCACAGCATAATGAAAGCTCTCTGTCGCAGCGGATGCGAGGCTGGATGTGACGCCAACTTGCGTTGAAGCTGTTTGCGGGGTGGTGCGGTGTCCTTGGATGATGGGATGGGAGTGGGTATCCATGTAGGTGAACAAGAGACCTACGAGGGGTGCAAAGAGGATCATGTAGGGGAGGTACCGAGCGTACCAAGCCCAAAAGTAGAGCTAATTTTTTAAAAAAGTAAAACTATCCATTATGATTTTGCATGTGTTTTTTTTTTCGAATCGGCTTTAAAGCAGAGGGGAGGGGGGAATATTACCACTGCGTATCCGCCCGTTTTCCACGGATCTTCCCATCTCGATAATTTGACAGTGTATTCCAAGACGTCGATATAGGGCGATATGGCGGATTGAAATCTTGTTCCTGCATCTTTCATGGATGTGATGGAGAGGGATTTGGCGGCGCGTTTGGATGGGGGTGGTATATACGGTTCTGCGATCATCAACAAATGGGTTAATGACCAAGACACATGACAAGGAGGCCAATGGTAATAGGCGACCACAACAGCCGATGATGATATGTTGGTGCTAGCCAATGAACGATAGAGTAGGGGCCAAAAACACATACCTGTAAAGCACTTTACAAAATCCTTTGCAGCACGAGCCTGCTTTCGAACCCTCTAACAAATTCAAAACCAAAATCCAGTTTATTTACCCTCCCAATGACCGAAATAATCATACACACACCATTCACACCTCTTTTAGAACCGTCTTGACTTTGCCAACAAGCCGTTTTCTCACACTTGTCTCTTGCACATGTGGGCCCTCGTCAATGACAACCACACCGTCTGCGGAGCGTGGGATGGGCAAGATGGGGCGGTCCTCTAGAATGGATTCTATGACAGGGGATGCGGTGTCGGCGATAATGTCTTCAAAGGGGCGGTCGGAGGTGTCGAGTGTTGCGAGGATAGGTACGTCGGGTGGGGGGAGGGATGGGTTTGGTGTTGCCATGTGTGTTGTCGCGCGGGTGTCAGTTGATGAGTGTCGAGATGTTTTGCAAATATGCAAATTGTGCAATGCACGGGTTGCGACTTGCAAATGTTGCTGTTGGTTAGGGGAAGAAAACCAGACAGTTGTCAAACTGCCAAAGCCATAAAGAAGGAAAACGCTAGAGCCCAAAAGCACACTTTGAACCAGTTTGGTTACGTCACGAACCTCCGTCACGACCAAGCCACACGATCCTTCTTCAAGAGAGAGATGGCCATTCGTGTAAATGCAGCAATAAAAGAATAATGGTCCTTGTGCTTGTATTTCTAGAGTGGATTCAGAAATGTGTTTGACAATAGGTTTCTCAATGCATATCTCATATGTTGATATAGTAGACTATGGAATGTCACACTGTATGTATAGAGTAAACAATCTCTGTCATTTTGATGCATCAGATTGCAATTCGATGTCGCTCTAGAGAATTACATGGTGTCCCACTGTAGACATTGCTTAAAAGTACCTGAATAATCTACCAAGTAATACGTAACGGAAATGGAATATCACAATTGGCGTGAAGGTTATGAATCTTGGATATGACGCTACGAGACACGGGGCGGCATCGAAAATAAACAAGGTTTAGGTTCAGTCTAATGAGGCTTTGAATGAACGAGTAGAAAAAACATGTCTTGTTTAAAGCCTTCATCAATGCGTTTAGTGAATCCAAGAATGAGAGTTCAAACTTTCAGTTGTCAATTACCCCGTATCACACTCCCTCCATCTCCTCCTCCCAGATACATATGCACATCCGTAATGTACATCTTTGTGTGGGTGTATCATATATGAAGAATATCTTGCATTCATTCCATCTGCGAGAAGGAAGACTGAAATGCCATTTACTTTGCTTTGATTCAAACTCTTGTCATGGTCATGTGATCTTATCTTCTCACGTGATTTAGCATTTGCATTCAAAGCGCTTCTCGTCGTCGTTCTCGTCCTTTTTGGCACACTGGCATTCCACCCGGCACAGGCAGAGTTGCGCATTACGCACGCACATTTACACGCACACATTCTTACGCACACCCGCACGCCCGCTCTCGTACGCTTGGGGATACCTCGCTGCACGTTTTGTGCATTTGCAGAGTTGGGGAGAGTGCATTTGCTGATTAGGGGACGGGTCGCGGCCGGCATCACTTGAGAGTCACCTTTTTCGACTGTGGACACTCTGGGGCCATTTCACCCAAATGGCTTCTTATCCCCCGCCTGCGCAGGGCTCAGAACCCAGTTTCCCTGTCTCTCCCCCCTCCTCTGGCGTCTCTCCCGATACTCTGTTCACTACGACACCTGCGACGACTAGTAGTCCAACAAGAACAAACGGCTTTGCCTCGTACATTGTCGCTCCACAAGCTGCCCTTGTGCACTCATCTTCTGCCCCCTCCCCTCTCCGCCGCTCAGTCTCTCGCCCCCTCCCATCACGCCACGTCTCTGAACACTCGGCATTACCTCGCCCACGGCGCATACCATTTTGGAGACGGCTGAGACGCATCTTCTTTCGATGCTTTTCATTCGTATTTTTCCTCCGTCCATCAAGTACCACAGAGCACGTTCGTGTTAAAATTCGCACAGATGCAAAGGGGAGAACAGTCATAAAGACTCGTCTAATTGGCCGAAACACATTTCATCCCTTTGACGATGAGGATGACGAAGAAGAGCAACACGAAGAAGAAGAGGAAGAAGAACTACAAGTGGAAAGGTCAATTTGGCAAGATTGGGGTGACAGGCAGCGTCCTAGTTTGACAGGGCAACAAGAAAATGGCTCTTCACATCTCCCTGCCGACCAGACGATTGCTGGGGGGCTGGCCGACGCGGCAGACACAGTCTATGACGAAGTCGACAATGTCATGCGCGTCTTTGCACAAACCATCAACACGCTCCCCCAAGAACTCTCGAACCGCTACCTTTTTACTGGCCTCTTGGGCTACGGTGGGAACGGTTTCGTTGCCGACGCTCTCGATCGTCTCGACGGCAAACCCGTTGCCGCAAAATTCATTGCACGCGATCGTGTCGCGCCAGCCAGTCTCATCATCACAGATGCATACCCCTTTCCCATCCCCGTCGAAGCAGACATTATGCGCAACATTAAACATCCCAATATCGTTGGCTTTCTCGCTCTTTATGCGGACGACGTATTTTATGTCATTATTATGGAAAAAGTGGTGCATTTCTTGCAGCATTTGGAAGGGGATGTGCAGTCCTTGTCAAATGCCGAGTCTCCGGCAGTCACACGAAATCCGACTACAAGAACGACAAACAAAAGCAGCACTAGCCTGACACGTTCCACAACAAGGACCACACGGACGAGCCAACGTCGGTTCCCCGAATGCTTTCCTGAGCGCTTCCCAGACTCGCCCCCCACACCCACGATCCCAACGTCCTCGTCGCCCTCTCCCATCACCACCACCACCACCCCAAACGATATCAAGCACAACGACGCTCTTTCTGGAGACGGATGGGTCACCCCACCCCCTCCGGCACTCGCTGACACTTCTCTCCGCCTCACTTTCCTCGCCTCCCGGCCCCAACCCCCTCTCACTTCCCTCACACGCCCCCGCCACGGCCATCCAGGGGACCTTGACGAATTCCTCGCTCTCTACCACCCCCTCCACCCCTCCATCCAACGCCGCCTTTCCCGCCAACTCGTCTCTGCCTATCGCGAACTTTCCCTCCACAACTACTGCTACCTCGACTTTCGCGGCGAAAACGTGATCATCACCGACACGATCCATATTAAACTCGTTGATTTTGGCATGTCACAAAAGAATACGGGTCATTTTGCTGTTTATGGTACTCGCTTGTTTTCGGCGCCTGAAATCCTGGCTGGTGGATTGTATCGGGGTCCGGAAGCGGATATATGGGCTTTGGGGTGTTTGTTGTATATGATTGCTACTGGTGGTGCCATGCCTTTTGAGAATATTGAGAGTGCGTTGGCGGGGGTTGTGTTTTTTCCAGAGAGTGTTGAACCTGGTATGTTGCGTTTATGTTTTCATTGCGCATGATTTTTGCATTTGTATTTGACCGTGTAGTTTTTTTTTTTTGGTTTAGACCATCGCGACTTTATTAAGCGCATGTTGACGGTCCAACCCTACCAACGAGCCACGGTTGATGAAATGTGTGCGCATCCTTGGTTGCGGTTTCGTGAAGGGGAGGATATCTAAGCACTCGCTGGGGGGAGGGAGGTGTTTTTTTTTTTTTTACTCTATTTGATATCATGGTGTGTTTATCACACCCGTCTCCGTTTGATATTGTTTTTTTTTTCATGTATATATACATGTGGTGTTTTTGTGTTTTTTTCTTGGGGATTTTGGGTAATCTATTTTGAACCATGTTCAAACAAAACAAAACAAAGCAAAGTGTGTGCGTGCACATTGGAGTATGACTATATTATATTTTGCAATGAGAGTGTACATTTTTGAAATGGGGTTTTCACGTATAGGTAGGTTTTTGCATGGTTTGTTTTTAAAAGGCAATATATCCATACCTTAATTTTGCATATGGGTAAGTGTATAGTATTATATCCTTTTATCCTCATCTTGTTGTCGGTGATGGTCGTGTGTATCTCCAATTGATGGTGACTTGCAGTGACGCGCGAGTGGCTTGGCTGTGTACGTAATCCCCCTCCGCTCTGGGTTGTGCGGGGATGTTGACCAAAGAGGATGAGAAGATTGGGAAGATGTGGGTAGATGCAAATTGACTTGGAAAATGTGTTGCATGTGCGGGTAGGATAGTTACCAGAAGGATGGAATGCAGAAAGTGTGTATTGGTTTGTGTTATCGGAGGCGTTGAGGTCTTTATGGTTGCATGTAGAATGTATGGATCTTGCCAGTCTTTCATATCATGTTGCCGGTTATTCTTTTGTTGTATGCATGTATGGTATATGTGTAGGTAGCTGCATATATATATGTAGGAGGCGTATGTAGGAAGTGTATGTGTATATGGGGTGCATGTGCTTTTGGCCCGATCGGTCGGGTGTGTATGGGTTTATCAGTTGCGCGCGTCTCCATTCTTTTTGTCTTACTAGAGTGGGATCTTGTATGTTTTTCTGGGAGGATTTGTTATATGGTTATTTTTTTGCAAGTTTTTTTTTTATAAACGAGCTTTCAAAATAAATCCCAAAAACCAACAAATCTCCAAATGATCCGTAAACTCTCTCTCCGCAAATCCCGCGAAAGCCAAGACGACCATCAAGATAGTCGAGATGGTTCTCCCCGCGGGTCCCCGAAAGGTTCCCCTCGAGGCCGCTCCCCTTCTCTCAGCACCAGTTTCCGCAACATGCTCCGACCACGCTCTCGTAGCACCTCCGCATCTATATCATCCACCCTTGCCCAGTCATTGACACCCACCTTGCCACCCATCAACCCCAAAAAACTCAACACACTCCATAAAGCAGTGTACACTTCCAACCTCAAAAAAATCCCATCTCTCCTTTCGACCCGTGATCCAAACAAACGGGACACTCACCATGGCTTCACTGCCCTCCACCTTGCCGCCCGCCTAGGTTCCATCCCCTGTATCAACCTCTTACTCCCATATGCCGATATGGAGGCTCGTGATCTGGATGGACGGACACCGCTTTTATGTGCTGTGCTTGCTGGGCAGCTTGCGTGTGTATCCCTGCTTGTTGAATCGGGTGCAAATGTCGGCGCTGTTGATGGACGCGGGATGGGGATTGTGCATTTGGCGGTTGGAGGGAGTAAAGAGGGGATTCAAAAGGTTTTGGAGGTGGGTGGGGATGTGAATCTTCGTGATAAGGTAATATACCAACTCGCACTCGCAAATTGCTTTTTATTTTGGGTGGGTTTAACACTTTTGTATTGATACCACTATTTTTTTTTTTTTAAAGGATGGAAATACACCCCTTCATTACTCCCTGCTTACGCATACGGACTATACACCCCTCCTCCTCTCCAAAGGCGCCAATCCCAACCTCCCCAATAATCTCCTCCAGTACGTCCACTCCCCTCACACACACCCACAAACAATCATATGTCTGAACTTTATGTTTTCATAGGACTCCCCTCCATGTATCTCCACCGGCCCTGATTCCTCTTTTACTTACCCATGGAGCGGACCCGTCTTTACGGGATGTGCATGGTAAGACGCCAAGGGATGACAAGGACGCAAAGGTCTGGGAGGAGTGGGAGAGGAGGGAAAAGAAGGGGTGGGTTCATGAGGGGGATGATGAGGGGCGTGTGGAGGATGTGAGTGGGGAATCGGGAGTGGTGGAACCGGTTTTGGAGTTTGGGAGTTTGGATGAGGGTGATGAAGAAGGTGATGAGGAGGGTGATGAGGATGAGGAGAGCGATGGAGATGGAGAACTAGTAAAAGATGAAGTCAAGCAGCTAGAAGACGTGGGAGAGGATGAAGGTGAAGATGACGGTGAGGATGAGGACACGGGAGAAGATCACGATGAAGATGAAGATGACGAAGAATATACTTCAGAAAACACAAAACCCCAACCAACACCCCAGGCCACTTTCCCCACACCCAGCCCAAACGAAGTACGTTTCCCCCTCCTTTTAACTGCTCCATCTCTTCCACATATCTCACAAAAACCGCGTTCTGTACCATAGTTTCAGATATCAGCCATCTCCATCGCACTCGACTCTGAATCCTCTATCGTAGAAGCATCCCTTCATTCGGAAACATCTTCCATAGCCTACTCGGAATCATCCATATTACATTCTAGATCTCCTTCTGTATCCAAGGCTAGTCTTACGGTACGTACCGTAAAATGATATGTTTTGGTTTTGAGTTTCATGCTGAGTATTTTTTTTGTTGTTGTTGTTGTGTGTAGGATTTGGTACCCAGTGCGCATTCACAGGTGGAAAAGGATGAGAGTACGGATTTGTTGGATGCGGTGGGTGGGTCAGAGTTTGATGACGAGTTTGGGTCTGATGAGGATATGGATGTAGAGGAGGTTGATGCGGATGATGGTTTGGAGAAACAGAGGGAGGAAACGAAATTGCATGTTGTGCATACAATGGATGAGAGTGTTTCTGAGGAGAGCGATTCAATGGGAGATGCCAATCGTGATCCTGCATTGGTGACGATGGATGAAGGTCTGGTGCAGAATAAAGTTGGAGAGGTGGAAATGGGTGTAGATGCGGGTGATGAAGGGGAGGCTTCGACTGGGATGGATTTGTCTAACATGGAGGAAGAAGAGGTGATGGCATCTAGCGTTGACCAAGGTGTGCCAATTACGATACCGAAAACAAACACAACCGATAAAGAACCGATCACTGCAGAGTCGGTGAGTGAACACCCGTCAAATGCAGTTCCGTCGCATGAAGACTCGCCAAGAATGGATTCACAGTTGCCGACCGACCCTCAATGGACTCAAGTCTGGCACCTCCTTTGCGCCAAATTCGGGTACACACCCACACAAGATACTCCCACCCCCACCCAATGGACTCAACTCTTGACAACCATCACTCCACAGCAGTATCCAACACCACCCGACCTCAACAACACCTTAACGGACCTCACAACCCGTCTGACAACCACAGTGGACCTCCTAGATCACGCCGAAAAAAACCTTGATGAAAAACAAACTGAGATTCAAAACACATATACCCTCCTTCACCAAACCCAATCCGAACTCGCTCAAGTCAGTTTACATCGAGATTTATCCCGAAAGCGAGCGGCAGCGCTTGAAAGCCAAGTCACCAATTTATTGGCGCAATTGGCTGAGCATGAGGGAGCCGAGGATGCGAGGGCTGCCATGTTGGGTCAGGAGCAGCGGGCGGCCACTGGACGGGCAGATGAGGCGGAGCGAAAGGTGGGTGCTGCTCAAGACCGGGTGATTCAAGTGGAGGCCATGTGTGAGGCCGAGAAGAGGAGGACGAGGGTTCTGGAAAGGGAGGTTCGGTTGTTGAGGGGCCGTGTAGCTGGTTTTGAGCGTGGGCAAGGACAAGCGCAGGATCAAGTGGAACTCAAAGAAGGCGAAAGAGAGGAGGAGGAATTGGACTCTTTGGAGGACCCCGACGGCCAAGACTCGACGACGACAACAATAACCCCGGATCCACATGAAGCCTACATAACTCGTCTTGAATCCGATCTCAAAACTCTTCAAACTGAATTATTACAGTCCCGGGCAACTCTCACTCAAATCCAAACGGATTTCACATTTCGCACCGACGAACTCGCAGACGAACTCAAGGAAACAAAACGCCAGCTCGTTCGCACGACCCATCAACTGGATCAAACAACTCAAGATCTTTCCAATGCGACCATCAAACTCGAACATTCTGCCCAACATACTCACACCCTCACACTCCGCATTCAAGACCTTGAGCGCGACATTCGGAAACGAGACGCTGACGTCGAACGTGAAAAACAAGAAAAAGACCGCGCAATCCTCCTCACGGAACAAACCACCAACGACCTTGAAACTCTCCGTCAAGAACTCCAATCCGAATCCCTCGCCATTGAATCCCGAAACAGACAAATCGAAACCCTCCGTCAACAGATTAAAGACCTCACGACTCCACCCATTTCTACCGACCAACAGCAAACAAACCCCACCCAAGAAGACCTCTTGACACTCCTCAACCACTACGACACTGAACTCAAAACCCTAACCCAATCCCTCACCCACGAAAAATCCCTTCGTCAATCTCGCGAAGCAGAACACACTGCCATCTTGGCTACTGTCTCTGACCTCGAAACCAATCTCTCCGACCTTCAAAAAGCCCATGCAGAGGAAACACACCAACACACCACCCGCATCCAGTCTCTCGAAACCGCACTCGAAACCCTCCAGTCCTTATCCCAAACTCAAGAGAACACGATCAATTCCTTACAGTCTGATTTGAACACTTTGCAACAACGTGCCATGGACGCTGAGTCCCATCTCGAACGTTTAACTGCATCTACGGCACTTGATCTCCAATCCCATCAATCCACCATCGACACGTTGACCCACACCCTTCATTCCCAATCTCATGACTTGGATACCGCCCGCTCACTCGCGGAAGACTATCGGCGGTTGAATGAGACGCTGGGTGCGCAGGTTGGGGGTCTCGAAGAACAACTGGCGGTACGAGAACGTGAGCTTGCTGAACAACAAGAACGGGAACAGGACCTTGTGGATCGTCTTGAGCAGCTCAAAGAGGAATTGGAGACCAAGAACCGTGAGATTCTTGAACGACGTGATCGGGAAGGGGTGTTGCTAACAGAGATGGAGGCCCTTCGACATGAATTGGAGGCAACGCGAGGCGGGGAAGCTCAACGAGGGGAATGGGAACGGAGTCTTGTTGCAGAGATTGATAGCCTCAAGGAGGCCCTGGAGATGCAAACCAAGACGATGGAAGCTGAACGACGGGAATGGATCCTAAAAGTCGAGCAAAGCGAAGCGGCCAACACGACATCCATGCAAGAGCGCGAGCAAGAGTGGAATGAACGAGTAGAAACCATCAAGACGGAATATGAGGAGATGATAACGGCTCTCAAACAAACCCTTGAACAAGAGCGATCACAAAAAGACCAGGAAACGACTCGTTTTGATCGTGATTTGGTTCAATTACTCGATACCCAACCCACTCTGGGTACCCTCATCACTCATCTCCAAACCACCTCCCACATCCCACTTACAATCCGGACGAACCTGACCAATCTCCTGAACATGGCACACCAGCAACACGAGACAGACAAAGCAGCCATGGAATCCAAAATAAGTACACTTGCATCTACCATCACCTCCCTCCAAACCCAAAACAAGAACCTCCTCGCTAAAATCTCAGACTTGACCTCTGAAAACGACCGTGCACGTCAACACATACTGGATCTCTCGTCTCACTCCCAGATCCCCATAACACGAATCAGTGAATTGGAAGATCAAGTACGCCGGTTGAGTGATTTGAAAACGGAACTGGAGGCACGCCTCACCCAGGCCGTAAGCGATGCGGAGAAGGCTAATCAAGCGACAATACTCCAATCGGAAGAGTACGCTCAAAAAATAAACGTTCTTTCAGATGAGTTGGCTACCTATACCGCTCGAACTCAATCCCTCCAATCCCAACTCGAAGAAACCCAAGCAAAATTGAAATCAACGCTTCAAACGCTGGGCGACTTGGAAAACACAAACAAAACTCTTTCGGCCTCCCTTACGGAAACTCAATCCACATCCCGTAAAACCTGGAACGAAAAATCCGACCTCGAAATCCTTCTTACAAAAGAACGCACCGATCACGAGCGAACACTCTTGGATCTCAAACAAACGCTTACAACCCTTGAAGTCGAGCATTTGCGACTGGAAGAAGAAAACAGGTTTGTCAGGTCTCTGTTGGAGAACTCTGCACGGGAAGCCGCTGAATGGAGTCAACTGAAATTGAAATGGGAGACCGAAAAGCGGAGGTTGGAAGAATTGGTTTCAGCTGCTCAAGACGAGATCAAGGGGATTGAAAAACAAAACAGAGATGCATTGAGAAAGGTTGAGCGAGGACGAGAGGAAGCCGAGTCTCGTATCCTCGTCCTCGAAAAAGAGGTTCATGCGAGCAAGTTGGAATTGGATGGTTGGAAAACGTCCAAAACAACCTGGGAGCATCAACGGTCTACATTGGAACGAGAACTGGAGTCCCAACGCTCTCTTTTGCATACTCGAGAAACCGAGCTCGCCACTCTCACCAAACGACTCAACCAACTCTCTTCCAATCCACCCCCCGATCCCACCCTCCTCCAAGACAAAACAAGACTGGAAATCCAACTCGAATCTGAACGCACCCTTCGCAAAGAAATTGAAATACGAGCTGAAAAAACTTACACGACCCTCCAAACTGAAATTGCTACCCTCTCCCAAACCCGATCCCAACTTCAATCGCACATCTCTTATTTAGAACAACACCGACAGTCCTCTGAAACCCGTATCCAAACCCTCCTCAACACCCTCCAATCCATCCGAGACCAACCCACACCAACGCAACTCAACGAAGCCAACTCTAAAATCCAAACTCTTCTTGAAGAAAAAGCTCGACTTCAGTACACCCTCTCCCAACCTACAAACAACAATGAAACCACACGCCTCCGAACCCAAATCTCCCACCTTAAACATGCCCTCCAATCCGCCCACCTGACTGCCCAACGCACCTACGACGCCAAAGTCCGCGCCATCGTCGTTAAACTCGAACAACACACCCAAGAACGCGTGCAGGTTGAAAAAGGGTGGATTAAAAACCAAACGGCTCTTAAAGCAGCATATGAGAAGCAGATTCGGGAATTGAATTCTGAATTGGAGAGATTCAAGATGCGTGTTGGGCAGGGTGATCGATCGGATTCAAAGAGAGTTATGAGTGTATTGGCATGATTGTGATATTTTGGAACTTTTTTTTTTGTTTGGCTATGGTTTGTTACTATATGACATCTCCTGGACAATTACTGTTGTCGCCAATTATAACACTATTGGAAGCACATTGTAAAAATATAGACGAGCACCTAGAAGTATAGTGTCATGCACTTGCCAGAATGTGCTCTACGTTTTTAATCCAAGATTGTAAACGGTTGAGTTGATTGAAGAAAGGAAAACGTAATGACTTTTGCCTTGGAAATGAAGCACCCGAAATTAGGAAGAATTGCAGTCCATCACAACCATCAAAGAATGTACATTGTTCTCTGCACAAATGATACAAGAAATATACAATCTTACATGTATGCAATATGCACCAAACCAACAAGAACAGGCAAGTAGGAAAAAAAAAAATAAAAACCAAACAGTCCCACTTTCCAAAAGTAAATGTCAAAAGCAACTACCTAAATGTTACAGCTACCAACCTTTACTCCTCCCCATCCTGATTCCTACCCGACGTCGGCACAGTGTACACACTCGAATACCTCTTTGGACCTCCTTCCTCCAACTTTGATTCTACCCCTTTAAACCCATCAAAAAAGCTCGCTACACTTCCCGCGACCGATCGTTCCCTCTGCGACGTCCCAGACACCGACTCCCCCCTCGGATCTCTCAAACATGCCATAGGGAACATTCCTACTAACCCCGTTCGCTCACACACACCCTCACACCACGCATCTTCAAACACCTGATAAACGGCCACAGCGTCCCCGGATTCTAATAATAATTCATCCGAGCGTTGTGGAATCCAGCCGTGGAGAATGGTGTAGTTGTAGGGTTGGGGTGAGCCTGGTGCGGAAGGTTGGGAGATGTCGAGCGGTGTGGGGGTGGGTGTAAAGGCCATCTGTTCGGGAGGGACGATAGGTTCTTGTCCATTACTATCTGAAAATGATAGTTTGGAGAATCGGTACATGGGGAGTGCGCTGGGGTTGCCTGGACTCGCGTCGCGCGTGATGGTTCCGTTCGAGTCTCGTTGTTTGCCTTTGGGGAGCACAACGGCGCCTGCGCCTAGTGCTGCTGCTCCCATTACTCCGGCTGCTCCGAGATTAGGTGCTGTGCTATTGTATCTGTCCACGATTCCGGTGATGGTGTTGGTCGTGGTCGGTCGTTCCAGCGCCGACATTTCCGGCGTACCCATATCTAATGAATCCCTTTCACCGGCACCGTTGATGGACCCACTAACAGGTGGCCTACTGTATGCGATAAAATCACTGTCGGCTCGGCCCAACGATGCAGCTCCGTCCATGAGATTGCTGTCCTCGGCACGAGCTGCTGCTAGTTGCTGTGATTGTCGGCGGTTCCTTCTTCTCACGCAGCAAAATGCTAGAATGGCACCTATTATCAAAAGTGCGACAGCGGCCAAGATGATACCGTTTCGCTCAACGGGTGAAAGACCGGGATTGGAACCTATTGGGAGAGGGATACCGGTTGGCGTGATTGTGGGAAAAGAGCCTATCGTCGGCCGCTCGGTTACTTTATTACTTGGTCCCTTTGGGCTTGGGGTGTCGGTAGGTGAGGGGTTGGAAGGCAACACTGTTGGTTCTGGCGTTGATCCTGATGAAGATGATGATGAGGAGGATGATGATGATGAAAATGTAGGTAAAGGTGGAGGCAGAGGTAGCAGTGTAGGAGAAGGGCTAGGTGTCGGTAAGGATGGAAAGAAGGTTGGATTGGGAATGGTTTCTAGGATGGTGGTGATGGGTGTTACGATGGGAGGTCGCGAAGTGCCAATCACCGTGACGGTTGGTTTCGTTGGCAGTGGAATGGTAAAGGTGATTCGAATAGGACCGCCTGCCCCGCCAGGGTTGATAATGGTGGGCGTTGGGATCGGACGCTTCTTTTTAGAGCCATGATTTTGTGATCTATGACACCTCGATCCTATTTTCATAAAGTCAGATTCATCTCGCCCCAAAACTCTGCCCTTTGTCTTTATACGTTTTCCACTTACGTTTGCCTCCAGCGGACACCTTACACCTCCTTTTAAGCCGTGACGAGCGCTCTATCAAAGAGGGCATAGAAGTCGGAGAAACAAACCCTTTGGCGAACACGATCCGTGAACGGCCAAAACCTCTGTAAATCTGTGTGTGTGTGTGTGTGTGTGTGCCGAAGAGTAAAAAAAACGCTTGAATGCTTTTGCAAGTGTCCAAAGAACGCAGATGCAAATCTCGACAACAAAGGACAAATTCCAGCAAGAAGAAAACCTAAAGGAAGAAAACCTAAAAGCAAAAATCCCCCTGTCGTCGTCGTCGTCGTTTCCTTCCAGTTTCAACACTCTAACTTTGCTTATGAAGTGGCGCAGACGCTCGATCAGGTAAAACGCTTTTGAAACACGTTTTAAAGTAGGCCGCACCTTGGCCGTCCAATCAGATGCGTCGCTGATAGTCCACAAGCCACGCGGTGGCACTTGTGCGTCACATTTGGAGCACAAGCCACTTCACATGATTGAAGGCACCGAGTCCGGGCCTCTGGACACTTGGGGGGTTTTGGAACACCTTTTTGTCCCCAGGTGTCGCTGTCAGGCGTCATTGCATTGAAACCCATGCGCAAAAACAGCGAGAGGCAAACGTTTTTTCAGACGAGTTCCCGGTTTTAAGAGTACCAGGCTCGTAGCCACCGCTGGTTACCTCGGGGTGGCCTCTGCTTTGGTGATGTAGTAGTAGCGATGCACGTCCAGCGGCCTTTTACCATTTATTGGAACAAACAAGTTTTGGGCTGCGACACACACACACACAACTTTTAATCTCCATAGCTGATGAACAGAGGGGACACTAGCGCACGTCACAGGCAGCAAAATCACTTGTTTGTGGGACGGGCAAAGAACAAAAGATGGTTCGAGGTCCAAGGTATAGGAAACCCTTGATATCTTTTACTGGATGGCCACAATGAGGCATTGTTGGGCAATATTGTGCCTATGGATTCTGTGCATGTCCCAATCGATAGTGATATGATAGACTGGTCCCGTCACATTTGATGTACATACCCATTGGGGGAAAAAACATCTACATACACAAGTCATTGGTCCGTAAATAAATTCTCTCGGTTCAAGCACCAGAGAGACACCTCAAATTCCAACATCTCCCTTGAACTGCATCTTCGTCTCAAAATCCCCCTCCAAGTTTGACATCACAGAGCAACTTCACACAGCTACCCGCTAAAAATTCCATAGTGCCTCCGATTTCATGAACAGTAGACGAGGTCGTACTCATACTCCCCAATGCAGAATCCGTCTCCGATCCTGCAAAGGACGAGGACGTTGTGGACGATATCGCATCCTGAGGCAAATCGAAAAACAAGCGTCGGGCAATCCGCTCATTGCGTTCAAAACTCCAGTCATTGCCCACATTGTTGGTTCCAGATTGAGCAGGCAAACTGGGGAAATTGGTAAAGGTGGCACTGGATGGCTGAGAAAGGAGCCCAGCTTGTTGCGCTGGTGTGCATTCTAAATTTGCGTAAAGTGCTGTGGAGGAGTTTAAGCGGCCCTCTCCGACATTGGTGTTGACGCTCAACCCACTCAACGATCGTCCAGAGGTGCGACTCATTAGAGGTGGTTGCAGCGGGGACATGACTTGCTGAACAAGATTGGGTATCTCCCCTGTTCCCTCTTTATCGGTTTGTTGCGACGCTTGAACAGATGGCTGTTGGGAAGACGCATGTTCCTTGACCCATTGATTCCAAAAGGTCTCGATGGCGTCCCGAATAATGGACATGAGATCCAGTCGACCTTTTCGAAGTTGAATCTCAGGGTTCCGTTCACCAATGCGAGAAATGACCATGAGACACTCTGCAGCGACTTGTCGCTCGGCCGGATCGCGGATAACGTCGAGGAGAGATTCCACTTGCAGAGCTGGACAAAGAGGCTTGTCAGCGCCAATGAAATTCAAAACATAAATATTGCAAAATACTTACCAAAATTCAGTTCCTCTGCAGTCTTTTCATACACTGTTGGATTGCTCGGCAGAAACTGTTTCCCAACCACAATCCCTTCCGTTCGACTCAAAACATTCCAAACCTTTGGATAAAAGTCTGGTGGGACGCGATTCAAAGCCCCATCATTCTTTCGGCGCCTCAACCACCTGCCCTGCGAAGGCAACAACAGTGTCATCGCCGTCGCATTCGATGTTGTTCCTCCGTGATTCAAAATACTCTTCCGACGCTGCCCAAGATCAATGTCCCGTGTCAGCACGTCTGTAGGACCTTTGTCTGCAGAACGATGCGATTCTGGTACAGAGCCCTTTTCGGCACCCTTTTCACCAATGATGCACCACGAGTCTCGGTACTTTACGTTCCTCACTTGAGCGGATCCTAACCTCTCACAAGCCGACAGAGCGGTATCTGTCAAATGATCCGTTGCATCATCCATCGCAGCCACAACGACAATCATTCCCGGCTCCAGCCATTCAACCAATTTCGCGAAATCTTCCGACTCTTCCTTGGAAATGTGAGTATCAAATGACACCCTTTCTAAAACCGTTCCATCCAACGGATCTAAAACCGCGACATTCAATCCACGTCCGAGCGCACCTCGGATGGCTTGAATGGCTCCATCCCGCTTAACTTCAATCTTTGCAAAATTGCCAGCCGCAAATCCAGCGGATTGGACGCTGATCGCCAATTCGGTGGGCAAATTGGCTCCAATGTTCGAAAGCCTCAATGAAGTTGACTCGGTTCCCTGTACCTGTACATGGCCAAGATGTTTCCAACGAGCCACAGAGGACAATCCCGGCGCTGCATCCGGTGCATTACAATTGTCGTGAGCAGCCAGCACTTGACCAAGCACGCTCTTCATTTCGTAGGGACTAAGCTGCATAAGATGTTCTACAGCTTCTTCTTCGTTGCAGCCTTTCAAGCGCGAAATCTCTTCTCTCATCGCAATGATGAAAAAGTGCGTGCGAATACGCATGATACCTTCGAACATGTGTGGATTTCCCCGAATGAACGAGCCGAGGTAAGTTAAAACCTCTTGTACCAGCGGCGCTTCCCGTACATCGCTGGCGCTGTTTTGCCACAGGTAAGTCAGTCACAGGTCAACTGGGAATCCGGTCACGACTCACAAAATGACGTACCAATGTTGATAAATCAACTCTTTCAAAGCTCCCGGGTTCATTGGAGAAGTGATAAATGTCTCCTCTGTTCCAAAGCCCACTGTTACAGGGCGCTGACGAATCAAAAGATCCGCCACATTGATCGTCAACGAGTTGACAACCTTCTTCAACAACCCTGCCGCCTGCCGCACAATGCTCCATTGTCGCAAATGCATTGCCTTGACGTACACTTCTTCCAGCAGGCTGGAGATTGTACCGAGGTTTTTGATGTAATAATCCAGCCCTTGACAAGACTGGAGGTAGTGCAATAGATCGATTTGATCGTATAAATTCGCAGATCGCTCCAGAAGCTGGATGGCTTCATCCACACGATCTGGGTCATTGAGTGTCAAAGTGAGAACTTCTGGGGGAGTCCCGCTCTGAGCGCTGTCCTTTTCTGATTCACCGTCGGTCCGAGCAGGTTCACCGTCCGTGGTCACAGCTCCATCAGTTTGCTTGTCTTCAAACAAGTTCGTGGCTAGACCACGAATAGGTGAATGCACTCTGATGGGTTGTTCTTCTACGAGACCCATTGCAGGTCTCTGATCATGGTCTACATGATCATGAAGCATGAACGAATCGCTCAATAAAGGCTCATCAGTATACCAGGGGCTCGCCAAGGGACTTTTCGGGTTCATTAAATCCATACTTCCACGTCGTCGGATCCTTCTTCGAGGTAACGATCCCGCGGAATGTATTCGCTCTTTGCTCGTCTCTTCTGTATCGTGCTCCGAATACGACAGTCTGGAAGCCTCCAAACAAGTCTCTTCTCCCTTCAACAACGTGGCCCAGTCCTCGTAGTCACTGTTCTCAGCACTCACAAGGAAGTCCAAACTCTCAATGCAAGCGGTATTGATCATATCACCCAGGCGACCGAGTCGTGTCCGGACGCCACCGACATTACCAGATCGCAAGGACATCATGAAATTCAGAAGGTTGCGTTTGCTGCTGTGGGCAGAACGCGTGCGCCATCCTTGGGATTTCTGCTCGGCACCGCGCAGCCCTCCGAGCATTTCACGTGTCAGCATGACGACCATCGTCGGTCGTCCAGTGGAGAACCAGTGGTTTCGGACAAACGATAGTTCCTGTTCAAAAAGACTAACCAAATAGTCATTGTCGCTGACAAGATAGAACTCCTCCTTATCCATAAAGTGAGGAGTGAACGCTGATAAACAAAAAGGATCATTTTAAAAAAAACTAACATGTATCGTAGAGACAGCAACAAGAGCCTCACCATAAAGCCTCCCCTGGCAGCGATACAATTTGCAAGTGCTGAGGGTACCAATTGGCCGCTTAGGCCTGCCGGTCAATTTCTGGATATCAAGCACAATCAATGCCTATAAGCCAATTACTAGTTTCGCCAATGTCAGGTGCCTACCAATTTTGGATTCTCGCCTAGAGCGGTATACGCATCTCTCAATGCCGACGGAGGTGAAATTGTCACCGGGGCACAGTTTTGAACTGTCTGCGTATCCAAGCCGAATTTCATCAACTTTTCTTGGAGCTCTTCATCCTCCGACAAGAGTACCACCTGAACAACCACTTCTGAATGGCTCTTACGACGACTAGCAGCAATTCTACGACCAAGTGGATCCAATTCTGCAGGCGATAGGAGATCATCGTATATCAAGTTACCCAGAATATATAAACTCTGCGCCCAAACAAGTGGAACGTTCTCATTTGGAACACGCTCTTGTGAGCCCGGCTGAGCTTTCTCTGCTTCCACCAATTGGCGGGGAACGATAAATAACTCTGGGACCAGACGCATATGAGCTGGGGGAAGGGTTTGCTTTGTGACAGATGGGGAACGTGTCATGGAAGATGGATGCGATGCGTGGGCTATGCGTTCACGGTTGAATTTGGGAATTCTTGCTGAATCGACGAGTAATGGATCAAGCTTTCGACGATACTCTCTCACTTGATCGAAATCGTCTCGAAAAAGCCTTCACAAATGCATGTCAGATATGGTTTCAACTCTCAAAACAAGGTGTGCGTCTTACCCATCCAGGATCATGTAAGTATAGAACAAGGGCCACTCCGACTCAACTCCTTCAAACACCTTGAGCTCCGATGGGTCATAATGCAGCCTACCAAATGGGGTGATCTGATCTTAGTCTCTAAAATACAAGACTCCACTAAATAACTCAACGCACCTAGTGGTGTCTTCCAAGACGGTCTGATGGCCATCTCTCAAAAAGCGTTTAAACCCGTAATTTCCCCCTAACTTCTTTACAATCTCGTTCCGCGTACGGGCAACAAGCTGTGGATCATGTACCGCAAATGCTGGAAAAGAGATCACAGCAAGCAGGGCAGCGTCAATTTCTTTTGACGCGGATTCACGCGGGAGGGCGGACTGGAGTGTAGTTGCATTGCGTGTGAGTTCGTCGGGCAGAACATGTATGACCTGGTGAATCAGTCGATGAGGTCGGTCACTCAGTCACTCTATGCGTAAAGTATGTTATTTCTGTACCGATGAAGGTCCACCTCTTGCTCCAAAGAGGTTGATTCCATTGATGGCTTGCAACGCCGCGACAGCCATTCCAATACTCGACGAATTCAACTCGGGTTGCCCGTGATTGACTTTGTTTCCTCTCTCCCATACGCCATAATCAGGAGTTCTACATCAACACGATCCGCGGTACAGGGATGACACTTAATAATCTTCACACAATTAGAGGCGGAAACAGAAACAACCCACCTATATGCGCGCTCAATATAAAATACCAAATTTTGCACAAACTGGACCTCGTCCATCGTATAAATTAACCGCAACCCACTTGCCGTCATCTGGGCAAGAGCCAGGAGGAAGATACTGGTTGCGTCAAGTTGGAGGTGGCCCCATTCGTGATCTCCTACGACTGTTCCACCTGTTTGCGTATTGTACCTGCAAGGTAAATTAGAACATCCAAAATCACATGGTCTATTCCGCAGCATGTCCTTACTTGGCATGTAATGCATGATGAACAGCTTGAGTATTCTTAAAGAGTTCCACCTTATCCGCTTGTCGCATCATAGCAGACAAAAGCCCACGCATGGTCTTTATCGTGGCATGCTCCAGTTCATCTGATAACCGAACATATCGTCAGCCGTCAAAGTTTCACCATACAAGCGTTAGAGCACGTCGCTCACATCCTCTCCCATCATCATCATCAATGCGCCGATATGCGAGCGCCAGGCCCCACACGGCAAAGATCGAATACACATTGTCTCTGATAAACCCTCAATAAATGAAAATGCACAAAATACTATCCGTAGCTGAGAGTGCTCTCTCTTACCTCACCCAGGCATCCCGATAATCGCCATGAGTGGTTATCGCCACCGACGCGGGTATCTGCAGATAAAAAGCCGAAAGAAAAACATGAATAACCGAGAACGTCGGCGTGCTCTCCTATTTGTTCGCGCTTTTCCTATGGTCCCTAAGTTGGAAAACATCGAGGATAACTTTGGGCAGACTTTTGTCCACCAATGTTACCGGCGACATGCCGTGTACATTTCACCTTTTTCGGCGTCGTCCAGCTCACACTCTTTATAACCCTAAAAAAACATACCAATCCCGTGGCCGGATTCTGGCGGGCCAATATAATACTGGCAATTTCCAAATAGTATCTCTCCAACGCTCTTCGAACGTCTGAGCTCGGTATCGTCATGATGCCGGTTCGCTAGGTGGGGTATGCTGTGTATCGAGGAGCCGGTGCAGCAAATAAAAGCTGGACCAAAGACGTACTTTCCGTACGTCCTTGTCCTTGGTCTAAGAATATGGGATGACTTTTGTCGTTGCTTTGAAATTGAACCGGAATGGGCTTTGTAAAGCAGTCGCGCCGATGGTTGATCTGATGATAATTGATACTGGTTAAGTTGTGGCGTTGATCTGTCCCTATCGCGCTGTCTCACGTGCGATCACGGGGGTCAGTGGTTAATGTGCTTACATACGCACATCTCAATTGGACTTTGACCCTTTTCCATTAAACAGATATTGCCGGATATATTACAGAGTACATATACAGAAGTTATTATCCGATGCACAGTAATTACCCCGCCTGCTTTTCTACATTGTCTATAGTATGCAGAAAAGTACAGGAAAACCAGGTCGACGATGATCTTCCCGCGTCATGTCCGATGTTAAGCGACCAGAGTCATGAATGTCCTACGTAGGACCATCATCAATTAATCGCCAGATTGACAATAGCCATGATGTCCTTGTACTGTTACCTTTGATATATCATCACATGCCATTCATCCAAACTCACCTTCTAATAACTCCCCCTTGGCGGGTGCTTTCCAACCGCAATCAGCCCTATCCCATTCTAATAGCCGATACCGTTATGGCGATCTGTATTGATAATAGAATGTCAGTTCCGGTAACGGTTACTAGTGGAGAGCAGAGTGGTGACAACCTTGGATCAGCGACCACCGAGTCAGATACCTCCTTTTGTGAAACATCACGATCAGAAGTATATGTCGATACAAACCCAAGACTGGGGAGGAAGGCACGCAAGCGACGTTCCGAGCTCAATAGATTGCGACAGTCACCAGGTCAACAGGTTTCCGTACCAGAGCTTGTACCAATATTACCACCAGCCGTGCAGGATAGAGGCAAATCGAAATTCGAATGAACTGGTCTTCACAACAGCGTCAAAATGCAACTCCCATTTAGGAACCGACCACGGTCGCCGCCGCGAAGGTACGCACGGATGCATCGCTCCGTTCTCCTGCCTCAAGATACCTGTCAGATTCATCAATAGTTGTAGAGACAACCTGGGCAGCTGATCAGGAAGCTTGGATAATTGGCGATGAAGACCACAAGTACTTGGAAGACTTACCGGATGTAGGGTTCGACGCGGAGACGCCATTGTCCATCTCTCGCAGGGTACCGTTACCGGAAAATGACATTCCATTATCAATACAGATCGCCATAACGGTATTGGCATATCTTCTTCAATTCGTGCTATTGAAACGGGACAGGGCTGATTGCGGTGCGTCCACCCCACTGTAAGTACTTTTTTTTGACCAGGAAATGGTAGCATGTGACTTACTATGTCCCGCGGCTATCAAGGCTTGTATCGACATATACCTCTGATCGTGATGTTTCACAAAAGGAGGTATCTGACTCGGTGGTCGTTGAGCCAAGGTTGTCACCACACAAGACTGGGGAGGGAAGCACGGAAACGACGCTGTCCAGCGGAAAATGGAAAGGGAACTTCTTGACCTGGTGACTGTCGCTGTCTATTAAGCTCGGAACGTAAATCTAAGTATGCAATAATAGAAACAGTCTGATTGAGAGAAAATTCTCAAAGAAAACGACGTTTTTATGTATTGGAACGGATCAAGTGGACATACCTCGCTAATCAGTAGTTCGCCACATAATGGCACTAGATTCCCTGCGATCTGATGACGGAGATACTCCTGTTGCTGAAATACAAGTGGACCTCGGTAGAAGCTTAACAATTTATTATTTCCTAATGCTTTTAGAGAACAAGCCATGAACATCTCTTACCGAATGGGCCAGGTCATAGCAAAGTATCACTCCCGATACTTGATTACTTGTCAAACTCCAGTCGGATTCTGCTTAGCTGTGCTCCTCAGAGAAGATTGAAATGCGTTGTGGGTACCGCTGGGAAGACTGGAGGTGGTTGAACGTCGGTCAAGTCAAGTGATACTTGTACATGGGAGATGGAGAAGCGAGTCTTATTTATAGAGTTTAAAATTCAAGTCCATACTGAAGCAGTCCATGGATGTGTGACGTCTACAGAAAAGCACATTGAGAGATGAGTGACAAGCCAATTGTTAGCGACAACAACGAGGGCTTACAGATATGAGTGACACTTTGCGACACCGTCAAAAGAGGGGATTGCACCTGCTGTGATATTATCAAGGGACAATGACGAAGATGGACGTGATCCAGTCAACCATATGTTTGCTGGACACAACTCTCATCTTATTGACAGAAATGGACAAACCGTGATATCAAGTGTCCCAGCTGCTAATTTCTGTATCTCGCTGTCCATTTCATTCCTATTATGCTCTTAGCACATCTACAAAAGGTTTAACTCTGAGAGTACCAAGAATTCCAGAGGCGAGGTGACAAAGCACTTGGAGTGGCTCCTTCTTAAAGGTAAATAGTTTGCATATAGGAGGGAGAGAGAGGACATTGTTTTTATTTAGCGATGACAGAGTGAAGAACAATTGACAAAAACTTCAAAAACAGATTTAAGGCTAAGAGCATCTATGAGGTTTGTATCTTGCATCGAAATATCACAAATAGCAATCATCTGTGTCAAACTTTTACTGGCTATGCGTTTGGTCCATTTCTGTCAATATAATGCAAGGTTGGTCCATATTTTGCAAACATATGTTGCTGGATCGCATCCATTTTGTCATTTTCACTATTATAAGATACAGTAAAAACCAGCTTCCCAGATATCGACACGAATTAACCTTTTTCAGTAGTAACCTTGTGTTTTCTCCACAACGGCACCGTTTGTCACCACGATATTCACAGCACTTGCAATTCTGAATGGCAACCCACCTGTAGCCATCCTTGTAACGCTAAACTTGATAAAGGCCGGTCGGCAAAGCTCTGGTTAAGCATCTGTTGGCTCATCACCGTGTATACTTCGCTATGCTAAAGCTCACAGAGTAGAGAACAACTTTCACACTAACCGTTTGTTTCCGTATACTTAAACTGTACGTTATATGCGATACCTAACAAATACTAAATCACTTATGCACCTTCGTGGTTGGGTAACCTCTGAGTACATGCAATGAAACTAACTGCCCATATTATTGAATGTTACATGCAAATGATTGTATACCAAAAATAACACAGACGGTCACAATGCAACTATCCAGAGGTAAAAAGCCTGAGCTACGCTGTGTCTAAATGCTTCAAACTCGTGAACGCCAGCACCCGCACGGGGGACCTCTATTTGGAGCTCCGCTTGTCGCTTGAATAGTCGTGTGATTCGTTCAAACATCTGCTCGCTTGCGGGAAGAAATTCCGAGATCCGTAGACTTGGGTGATTCTCCCGGCAAGTGAACATGCCGACCTTCTACTCTCGGGCATTGGAAGACAAACTGTAATACCGAGGGAGGGGGGGTTGGGGGGTTTCTTTTCGGTACCTTTGACTGCTAAAGACGCCATGTTCCTCAGTGCGATGTGTCGATCGTGGCGAGAGTTGAGAAGCCATTGCTTCAAAGCTCTTGATAACGTGCTCCATGTTCTTTTCATGATGGCCCAGGCCACGCAAGGATGGTTGTAGCGCTTCTGCATTGAGAAGTAGTATTTTTCGGCGTCGGACAGCTCCAACAGCCTCAGTACAGAAAGCTGGTGAAGAAAGTATCGCGGGACATAAGAAGGTTCGTGTCTGATTCCATACGAGAGAAGCTGTAACGGCAGCCTTCGTTTTGCTTCCAGTCTACCCGCTTTCACCTCGTGTGCAAAAGTCTCCGCGTCCTCTGGTTCTACGAGGTAATTTGTCCTGATTGCGTTTCTTAAAGAAAACTTCTTGAACTCGTTGGGTTTCATTGTCGGTCAATGCTGGGAGATCTGCTTCAATGATGGCCAAGTCCACACGTCGTGTAAAACGTTCCTACTTTCATAGTAAGTATTTCTCTGCGTCGGATAGTTCCAACAGCCTCAAAACAGACAACCCTTGTCAAGAAAGCATAGTAAGTCACATGCTACCAGTTCCTTGTCAAAAAAAAAGTACATACAGTCCGGTGGAATAGGTGCGTCAGTCGCTGATAAAGACGGTACGAGCGGATTAGGGTTAGGGCATGAAACCCGGGTAACGTCTCTTCAAGGCGTTCTCTCATATCTCCTATGTAAGAGGTCAGATACCAGTGATTACCGATACTACTTAGTATCTGCACCCACAATACATATCTACTGTAACGATTCTGTTAGCAGGGCACCCGCATCCGGTAGCGCCGAGAGGGTATCTATCCGCATTCTTCGAAATTCGTTGGTAAGGGTAGTGAACAGGTCCGTGGAAGGATAGTGCGCTATAGAATCCCTTGAGGTCAGGCCGGTGGTTAAGTTTGTCATCGGTGTGTATCGCTTAATCACGACAGCGGAGCATCCGACGGGTGCAGCCATGGGTATGCTCTTTGGGACGTGTGGTTGTGCGGGAAGGAGGGAGTTTTTGATGATCCAACTTTTGCTGCGACTGACATTCCGGCTATTCACATTCCGGAGATTCACATAATACCTCTCCAGCCATTAACGGTGGAAACGCCCCCGTGCCGGCACAACTGAAAATAACAGCAAAGCAAGTAATATCAGAAACAATAGCTTTACCGCAACTGAATCGGGGAAGAATACCTCGTAGAACAGTTATTGATGCTCCGTGAGTAAACAGTTGCGACCCTTTCTTCACAAGGACTTTTTGCACACGAGGTGAAAGCGGGTAGACTGGAAGCAGAACGGAGGCTGCCGTTACAGCTTCTGTCGTATGGAATCAGACACAAAGCTACTTATGTCCCGCGATACTTTCTTCACCAGCTTTCCGTACTGAGGCTGTTGGAGCTGCCCGACGCCGAGAAATACTTCTTATTAATGCACATAATAAGAAACCCGACGGATAGGTTGGCTCGTGGTCTAAAGTTCCAGAAAACAGCACCTTAGTAAACCCTTTGGTTGCGGACTGAGAGCTATGGTACCTCTGATATGGGATTCCTGAATTCGAATGTGAGCACTGTTGAACGCTCGGATCCAGCTCAGAGCAGTGTCAATCTCGGCGGCCGTGTGCAAAAGTCCATCGTGTAGGACTCAAAACGCCTGACAGATCGTGAGAACGTCCCAAATATCCAGCCCAGGTGGATATCGTGAAGACCCAAATGAGGACATTGTCCAATTGGTATCCCCCGTTATTCGCTCTTTTACTAGAGCGTAATCGAATATCCGGTCACATTGCTCATGATGCTAGCAATAGGTGGGTAACACGTTCGAGGACGCTTTATATGCTTCAAAGAGTAGGTGTTGCCTCTGAAGTCTTTTGCTAACAATGGAAAGGCTGTGTTGGACGCTCAGCATGTTCAAAAGTCTTGGCGCTACCTGAAAATACGGCATGCTGCAAATTCCGAGCTGTCGATTCAACCATTTTCCAACTCTGGATGATTTCAAATGACATCGTTTTCCCTTTGTCCTTCTCCGCATGTCTTTTGGACAGCTTTCTTGTTTCCCCCACATGCACATCTGATTGTGTTGGCATTGCAAACAGTAATTGACATGCCAATGTCCCATTAATTTGCAGTCAGCTTTGCGACATTTGTCTGATGTCGCAGGACCTCTTGACAGATAGAAGATTTGATAACAAACTCATTTGCCTGAATGATTATGGTGACGTACCAAAGTAAACGGTTCTCCACATAACGATGGCTGAATGGTTCGTCCGATCGCTCCATCTTCCATGCTGTCTTTTACGCCGTCATTATTAATGATGCAAAAAAAGAAGGAATTACGGTGCTGGCTGCCGCATGAGTGGTACCGGTTGGGTGCCGTTGATATATTCTAGGACGATTTGCTTACTCTGAACGACAAACTCTGCTAACTCGTCATCCATATCTAAAATCTGGCCAGATCCTGGAATTATGCAACGGATAGAGATCGATTACAAACGTCTCTCTGGAAGGAACCACACACAGTGTCACTTCCAAATTCAATCCTTCCGAGGGGGGGGGGGGGTGAAAGGGGTGTGACGGTATGCTCCAGTTCTTAACCAGCGACCGGCCATCCATCCCACGAGAACTGGGCCAATCTTGGTATCATATCCGAGACTTAAACATCTCCTACTTATACACAGCTTACGGCAATCAGGGCAGAAACTTTTGGCATCGCCTTCATACCGCTATTTGTCGTGAGACTTGCCGCCATGGTTCGCTGACAGAAAATCGGTATGAGGGGTATTCAAGCAATAGAGCAGCTTTCAGCAAGCAAGTCCGTCCCATGATTTGGCCACAAGTGGAAACCAGACCTACCAATTAAGGAACTATATACTAGTGAAGCACACTTATGCCACTGGCAAAATATTAATGACAGTGCCATGATCGTTTACAACTTGTAGCGAAGTTCTAATCGTTCAAGCATCGCAGGAACTTGGCACTGCGTGCGCAGGTTTGATGTACAGTACGTGGCATTGACCTGTCCCTATCGCGCAATGTCTGACCTCCATTGTACATGTTTAAACAGATCAGCTTTTAACAACTTTGCACACTCTTATTATAGACCCATCTCATTCAAAATCCCCCTTTGTACAAACACAGTCTGGACTAGACCATGGTGACAACTCACTCAATCGAATGTCGAAAACTAGCCTCTAGCGCTCACCAACCTCCTGCAACGAGAAATCAGTGAGCAACCGCGAGTTGGATGCAAAGTCTATGGTGACCTCACCTCAGGTGCTTCCTGCATGGCGGGAGCTTGCCCACCGCCACCAGCCTCCTTCCTTGACAAACCGGACACAATGTCATCTACTCGGAGGAGCAAACATGCCGACTCGATAGCAGTCTTCACTGTTTGCGCCTTGACAGCGTGTGGCTCCCAAACACCGTATTCTTGCATATCCACGATCTTGCCGCTCTCCCCGTCAATACCCCAAGAGAAGTTGTCCACGGTTGCATGCTTCGCCTAAGAGAAACAGGTCAGAATGTAGGTCTTGGTGGATAAACCGATACAGAAATCTCATACCCTGAGCTGCGTCAATGTTTTGATGGCGTTTCCACCACAGTTTTGTACCAAAGTACGTGGGATGACTTCTAAAGCTTCCGCAACGGCTTTGTACGGCCATTGTTCCACTCCAGAAATAGTTTTCGCCTTCTCACCGAGGCGGACGGCAAGGGCCATCTCTGTCGCACCACCCCCGGGGCAAAGGCGCGGCTCGAACATGACATTCCGGGCAACGCACATAGCATCTTGCAAATTCCTGTCAATCTCCTGTAGAACATCTTTACTGGGTCCACGGAGCAAGATTGTGCAAGCCTTAGGATTTTCACACTTTTCGAGGAAAGTGAAGTATTCATCGGCAATCTTGCGAACTTCAAAGAGACCGCATTGTGTGCCGACATCGGAGTCCTTCAAGTCCTCTACTCGATTCACAATGGTAGCGCCAGTGGCCCGAGCAATACGGTGATTGTCGGTCTTGCGGACTCGGCGGATAGCAGTGATGTTGGATTTCATCAGGAAATGTTGAGCCAAGTCTATAAGACGAATCATCAGGTAGTGTTCACAGAATCAGCCGGAATCACACAATACCTACCGCTGACCCCTTTTTCGGTGAATACAAGATCAGGTTTCAAGCGAATGATGTGGTCACACATCTCTTTAATCTGTTCTTCTTCGATCTCCAGCAGACGCGACCAGTGCGATTCGTCCGTCACCTCCACATTCGTCTGCGACTCTCCCTTTTTGTATTCAAGTGGGCAATCGAGGAGCACGATCCTAGGGTTCTCGATCTTCCTGCGCATCTTGGGATGTGTGACATCCTTGTTGACCATGATACCGTCCAAAACCTTTGACTCGTCAATCTCCCCACCAGGTATCTGAAAAACGCGCGGTGTTCAGCACCAAAAAGCACATATCTCTTTTCAATAGAGTATACCTTTTCCACACGAGCATAGCGCTTAATGTCTACCTCACGCTTTCCGTCGATCTCCAGGTTCACCGTCTTGACGGCATCATACGCCAGTCCGCACATCAAATCGCTCCATCTCGATACGAACTTTGTTCCAATAGTGGATTTGATAATGCGCATCATTTCCGGCTTGTTGCTTATATCGACCTCAATTGATATATCCTTCATAATGTTCAGTGCATCCTCCAATGCGCGCTTGTAAGCCCCAATAATGGTAATAGGGTGTATGTTACGCTCCAGAAAAGGAAGTGCCGCGGTCAGAACTTCACCAGCTGTTTTGGAAATCACGTCCCTGTGAGAAAGCCGCGCAGAAAAGAATCACCGTTGAGAACTGACCAAGGATAATCACACTAGTTGTCCCATCTCCAACTTCCTCATCCTGAGTTCTTGCGAGCTCAATCATGGACTTCGCTGCTGGGTGAGCCACTTCTACTTCTCGTAGAATGGCATTTCCATCGTTCGTCATGACAATACCGCCCATGGGATCCAACAACATCTTCAACATAGCGCGGGGACCCAAGCACGTTCGGATAATATCGGCGATCACCTTCAATCACCATCATTAGCAACGTATAACTGCAGCGCCAACCATATGCTTCCCATGCAAATTCAGACGTAAATCCACACCTTTGCTGACTGGATGTTCGAGAGCTGGGCTTTTCGGCCTGTCTCCCGCTCCATGTTCGCGTCTAGTGCACGGGAAACGTAAATCCAGTGTACAGGACAGGTGAAACATCCGTATCATCAACTTACTCATAACCATCACCGGGACCTGCATTTTGATCTACTTGCGGGGATTGTACTGTTTAAACAAGTTTCTGGTAATCGTGTCGGCGATCTTGTACCTGTGAAGAGCGCGCGAAGATAAAACTAGCGTGAATATTCCTTTACAATATGCCAACAGATCCTGTGCCCATCTGCAATCGACATGTCACGTACAATAAACAGTCAAAGTGAGGGCGAGAAGGTGTGCTGCGCTATTTCCAAGATTATCGAGAAGGATAAGTATTGCCTGTGCTCTCTGGCCTCCTGGCGTTGCCATGAAAACGGCTCGCGTCCGCAACTCTGGACATCGCTTACGGAATCATTATAAACAAACTAAGAGATCCTCAACAATCAACACATCGTCTTATATTAGAAAATATCAAAATCAAAAAACCCTACTTTCTACGGTCCCGTGAACCACAGCAAATGAATAAATTGGAAGCAGCTGAAAATATTGAGGTCATAGAAATATCACGACGTTACTCCTTTTGGTCGGCCGTTTCCTGGAGGCTTGCCATCTTGGCCAGATCGTGCTATTGGACGTGGTTTTGGGAGGTTTTGCAATCCGTCGGGAGTGTTATCTAGTTCTCGGTCAAAACTACTGGCCGAGGTAGATTTTGGTAACGCTGGTAATAGTAGTTTTCCGGGTATTTTGGGCACTGTTGAATCCGACGCTAGTGCGCCAACACCTGCACTCGACCGTCGTCGGGCTGAAACTGGTGCTGTATAATTTCTTTCTCGTCCAGAATTTGATGGTGCCCAGACGTCACGGCTGCCTCCCTCTGCGAACCCAGCAATGTTTCCGCCTGATGTGGATTTTCGGATGATTTTAGGGATGGGGGTGGTGGTGGTGGATGTGGTTTCTGATGTTTTACGTGGTGTAATTATGATATTTCTTGAAGGAGAAGGGGCTGAGATAGGTTGCGGTGGGTTGCTCAATCTTCCCTTCAACTCCCCTGGTAGTTTTATTCCAGGGACAGATCGAAAGGTGCCATCAGCTGCGCCCTCAGATGCATCTTGGCGTACGGGCGCGGGTTGAGGAGGTTCTTTGGATTCAATTCGCACCATATTGTCTACGATGGGCGCCGTGAGATACTGCTGCGGTGTAAACGGGGGTGTTGATGGGGCAACTAGGGGGAAGTCTTCACGCTCTTCATCCGGCGGTGGGGGGAAATTTGGGATAGCTTCTGGTTTATCCAAGAGGGATTCCCAATGGCTGCGGTTTTGAGATATATTGTCCATACATCGTCTTGAAAAGTCCGTCTGAATGCATTGCGACCAAGAATCAAAGAGCGGCACAACGAGGATGTCAATAAATCCTATTTGACTGCATCACCAAGAATAATTAAGTACGTAAATATGTGGAAATTCTTTGCCCTCCCACCCACATACCATTTTGGAATGTTGGTATCATATCGATCCATAAATTTCGAAACCGGCATGCCTAGTTTTCGTTCACGGTCACCCTAATGCAGCACAAATCGTCATTCTCATTATTGTGGATATTTCACAATGACTTCCGCTTTGCGCACCTGCAGGAAGAACTCTTGCATCACCTGGAACGCCCACTTTCGTGATTGCTCGATTGGCTTTGCTGAGTTATTGAGGTCTGCGCATTTGATCGCACACTCCAGTAACAAGGCGCGATCCCCAGATTCTTCCCAATTCAAAGCAGAAGCAGCGATCTTGCTCTTCAGCTTGTTGATGTAGTGAAAATGTTGTGCCATATCTGGGGATTCCATGGTAAATCAATAAAATAGCTAGCGAATAACATGTCATATACACACCAGTTGCAACCACCATGCTAATAATGAGTTTCCGTGCTTCTCGATACTGGTCATTATTCAGTCCGTCAAACACGTTTGTTTCCGGTTGTTGTGCAATTTCAAACGCTTTGGCAGCATGATGGAACTCTAATACCGACATATCATTATAGAAAATGGCGAGCGGATGAGAAGATTGAACCAGGAAGTTGTTGTTCAGCCCCTACAAAGTGAATAACAGATGCGGTAAGCCACCGATTACAGCAACTTCGCTTACGACGAGCTACTCACAGGGTGGTCCACGTCGTGTACGGCACTTGCAATACATGCAGCAAATATCTCCATCTTGGTAAAGTTTGCTGCCATTTTGGGGTCGCTTAAGAGAAGCATATTTACGGTTTGAAGTACATCCGCTCCATGTGTACTAAACACATGATGATCAGTTGGGGCTGGCGTACACACAAACACTCAACAGAAATACCTATTATGATATGGCAGAGGATGGTATGCGCCTTCAATCTGCTCAAAAAACGCCCGCAGCTTCATCTCGTCCAGCGAGAAATGCTGCAGTAAGCCCCAATATTCCAAAAGATGGACTCCCAGGAAAAAAAGCGGCCTGCCATTAGTTGCCTCCGCAAGGTCGTAAATGTTGAAATCGAACGAAGTGGATCTCTCCAAAAGAGCGTTCACTTCTGCCATATTGATGGACGAAATCTCTTTGCTCGGCCTTACGTGACTCTCCATCACTTTCAGAGATGCCTTCGAAATATCCTCAGCTTTCTTCGCAAACATATGCTCTTTGGCATCTGCCCGCCTTGTTCGACTAGGTTCCTTCTGAAGCAAGGAGCTTTCAATCCATACTTTAGTATCGGAATCGATGCCTTTTCCCGTCTCATCGTTGATCTCATCAATATTCGAGGAGAAGAAGTCTGTTGAGGTCAATGCTTTCATAATGAAGTCAATTTGTCGAATGCCGGGATCACCGGGCGGTAGCCTGAATTTGAACCCTTGGAGCATGTCAATTGTCTTCTTGATGGGCCCGTCGAGGTTATATCGTGGCGTTGCCTTCGTTGAAGAATCTCGCAAAGCAGCTGTCAATTCAGTGTTGGTCTTGGCAAGCTTCGCATTTTCAATCGACATCGATGCAGCAGCCATTAAAGACTGAATGAGCTCGAGACGGTCGGCAGTAAATGCGCCAGTCTGGAGGTCATTCTCTAAATAGACCACCCCCGTAGCCATGTTTTGATGTACGATAGGACAGCACAGAATGCTTTTAGTTTGCCGCTCGGTGACGTATGCGTCTTTACCGTACGTCTGATCCGCGACTGCATCAACCAAAACCAGAGGTTCGCGGGAACGGAATACATAGTAGACCACAGATAGTGGCACCCCTTGTTCGTGCGTCGCTTTCTCAATCGGAACATGTTGAAGAACCTCGTGATGCTCGCCACCTTCATCAATCACTCCGAGTGCTTCAATTAACAGCTTTCCCTCTTGCTGCAGCACGAGCATCCCTTTTTCTGCTCCGGCATTCTCCATGACAAACTTTATAATCTTGGTCAGCAAAATTTCCAAGCTGGTCTCATTGCTGATCGACTGCGTGACCTTGAGCACTGTGGTTAAATCCAAGTCGACGGTGGTAGAGCTGTGCTGTTCCGTAATGGACGAACGTTGAGTGGTACCATGAAGGCTGCCAAACCGAGTTCCAGAAAGACCCTTGTTCAGAAGGTGGAGGTCCATTATATCGGCGTAGCGTGCTTGCAATTGTTTACATTTTCCTTCGCTCCCCCAAGAGTGCCAGAGAAAGTAAGCGTCGTGTAAGCATGATCGTGCTAGACGCTTCGATCCCATTTCTAGCCAGAAACGACCGTAGCGCTCTGTTATGAGGGCTTCATGAAACCGAAAACCGTGCTCATGAGCGGCATCCAATGCCTTATCGTAGAAATTCCTCGCTTCCGTCATATCTCCGAGGATTCTTGCCTGACCAGTTGAGGATGATTATCTTCTGCTACAGACTCAATTACAAGTAAATGATCGGCTTACTCTTTCGGCGGACACAAGGTAATATTTGCACATAATCTCCTGGGGTGGTTGCTCTGCAAATTTCTTGACCATAGCACATGCATCATCAATTTCTTTTAGAAGTTGTTTCCGGTCCTGGTTAGGAAGATTATACTCCGATGCTGCGATTATCACTTGCCACACGAAGATATCAATGTATCTATTTCCCGCTCGGATCAGATATTATCAAGTGAGAAAGTTGCGCGATCTCACATACACCCACCTTGGTATGCCCATGTAAGCATTCATTTTGTCTTCTTGTTTATACTGCTCCAGCAGCATCCGCCTATCCTCGCGCTCAAAAAGCAGCGCATTTACAAGGCGAAAATAATATACCTGAGCACGAGTCATTCCGGTCGCCATAACATCTCTGTTCTGGTATACGCATTCGATCCCAGAGCTCAAGGCGTCTAACTCCGCGATCGTACCGTTCCATACATTCAGGAAGAATCCTTTGAATTTCTCCATAAATGGATGATACCTTTTGTGCCATTCGCTGTATGCGGCAGCAGGGCGTCCATACGAAAGTAGGACCCCGGGGAACGTGCACATCGCGTATATGACCACCGAGTAGTACCCAGCTTCGATGCCTGCAGTAATGCAGCGCTCTACGTTTTCTTCAAAGGACTTGAAACTGGCAACATAGATATATCCATTCATGAGCAAACCCAGACGGGCACGTGCTTGAATCTCCAGAGTAGCCTTGTCCATCAGGAGAAAGGAGAGTTTCGATACCCATCTCATGCGTGGAAAGTCTGGCTCCGGCAGACATCCAGCGTATGCTCGTAAAACAAATGCAAAAAGTTCGGCACTTCGATGACTGAGGCCCTTTTGCATAGCTAGCACGCAACCCTATGAAGGAGAGTTCTTCGGTTAGTCTGTACACACACAAAGGACCTAATCCTTATTACCTTTACGTAGAAATACTGGCATTGATATAATCGTCCGAGGGAACCCGCTGCGCTTCCGATAGAGAGCAGCACCGTCTGCAGCATCTGAACAGTCGGTTCCAAAGGACGGACTTCTCTCGCTACTTCCTCCTCACTGCGACCAGCTATTAATCGCTCAAGCTCGCTAATTTCTGCTCTGACCATTGATATGGCATCCTGCTCGTTTTCTGGAGCTGGAATATCAAAGGCTTTCAACTCCTTAAATCCCATTTCCATGATGTCGTTAAATCTCCCTTGAATATGGTATGCGCTGACGAGTATGCTGCTTGCTGTTAGCTGATCGCCAACACTCGTTGCCCGGCGACACAGATCCTTCAGTATAGCTGTTGCCTCGTCGTAAAGACCTTCGACAAGATTGACTTGCGCCACAGCCTTTTTAATATTAAATATCTGCTCATAGTTGACCTTCCAGGCTTCATCATCCTCGCCAAGTAGTGACTGGGCAATGCTAAAATATCGTCGGGCAGCATGATGCGCATTTGATTTTTTCGCTCGTAGTCCAGCTTCATAGTTTAACCGAGCAACATAAGCTGGCTCTTCGCGATCTGTCAAAAGATCGAGTACTTCATTGTATTGAGCGACCAAAGTGAAAACGTTCTCCTGCTTTTCTTCTTCGCTCAAGTTCCGCCGCAATAACCTGCCGATTTGCAAGTGCCATTTTCTTCGGACCTCAGGGTCGATCATATCATAGCAAGCCCGGTGGAGTCGATTGTGGCAGAACTGTCGTAGGTGATCTCGTTAGTTTCCACCCAATCAGGAGCTGAATGTGGACCATCCAGTACCTTATATGACATGACCATGCCTCCCACGGATTTATTAAGGGACAGGGACGACCTATGTCCTGGTCGGAAATGGTTCTGATTTTGCGAATTGATGGATCCTGAGGAGCTCCTCGAGATTGTTGACAATGAGCGGGCAAGTGGAGGTTCTTGTGATTGTGGCAGGAGAAATCCCTCCTTAACAGCCGCCCATAGCAACGTCGCCACTTGGACGATACTAATCTCAGAAAGAAACGATAGCAATCGAAGGTCAAACGAGTCGCCAATACATGCTAGAGGAATTTACAAAGATCGTTAAAATAACAAGAATTCGAAGATGATACAAATGTTTACTTACCTGCTTGTTGCAGTAACGTCTGAGTTTCGGGCGAGAACTGGCGCAATCTTGTCAACAGCAAGTCCGCGACGTTCTCGCTCAACACAGTCTGCCGCTCCATTTCATGAACATCCCAAGCCCACCCACCAACAACCTCATTGAAATAGATCAACCCTTGCTGTTCCGCGTAGCGAAGAAACTCACGGACATGAAGTGGATTTCCCATTGTCTTTCGGGAAACTAGGGATGCCAGTACGTCAATATCCTCAGCTGCGGGTTTAAGAGTATCGGAAAGCATTTCTCGTAGCGCCGCATTAGTAAGCGGCCCTAGCTCGATTCGACGTAATCTTTGAGGGGCCTCAAACTGGATTCGTTGAACGGTTGGACCAAATGCAGCTCCCAGTGCAGCTCCTGGACTTCCGCTGGGCAGTGTTGCGACTATCAGCAAATGGCCTATTCTCCTGTCGAATAAAATGGCTTGCAGCAATTTTTGCGAAGCGGACTCGGCATACTACCAGCATAGAGCGGGGGAATTAGAATGTTGAATCATTAAGCTGCTCTTTCACGAAGAACTGTACCTGTAGATCATCCAAAAAGACCACCAGTGGGTGTTCGGCTTGCGCAAAGCAGCCAATTAAAGCTTGCATAGCACGAATGAAGGACGTCTGCTCAGCTGATGTGGCATCCACTCGCAATTCAGCAGACTGCTGAAGTCCCACTATCATTTCCAAATCTGGAAGAACGTCCGTAACGATCGCCAAAATCTCTGGGCCCAAGGTAGTATTCAGACAGTTTTGCCATCTCTCCATCGCTTCAGCAGTTTCTCCCAGGAGCTGGCGAATGAGTTCATCTAGCGCTTGTACGAGTCCTCCGAATGGTTTATCCCGATTGTATTCCGTGTACTGGCCACGCACTATGTTCAAGGCAAATTTGTTATAACCTCATTGCTCGATGGACGTATCTTTAAGTCTTCTTCAGCTCACCAAAAAAACCACGATTCCTCATTACATGCTTTCTGAGATGATTAATCAAGGAGCTCTTTCCCTCTCCATTTCCACCGCACACTAGTACTAGTTCACTGCGACTCTTTCCGCATGCAACATTCTCAAAGGACGTAAGCAATTCTTTGGTTTCCCGGTCACGTCCATAGAGTTTATCTGGAATGTTGAGATGATGTGAATAATCGCGGGAGGCGATATCGAACTCAAAGTCATTGAAGATCTGGGCTATGTCAAAATCTGACAATTTTTCATCTTTTGCGCAGAGTCTGGCAGCTTTAGCTTCTTTTAGTCGCCGCATACAGGTCATAAAGTCAAAACGAAGTCCTGATGCCGATTGATAGCGGGCTTCGGGCGCCTTGCTAACTAGCTATAAAAGTTGTCCAATAATTAATGAAAAAAGAATGTCGGGGTTAGGAAAAAGCAACGACACCCACTTTGTTAATGATATCGGAAAACGCCTTTGGAATGAGTGGATCATGCAGATTTGCAGGCTCAATCTCCTTAGCGAGGTGGGCATGTACATACTCCTGGAGAGTTGTCAGTTTCAATTACTGTGTTCGTAAACGCATCCTATAACCATACCGTAGCGTCGTCAAACTGAAAAGGTGGACTTCCAACAAGCACCTCCCAAAGTGTTATTCCCAAGCTATAGAAGTCTACATTATCCGTGCAGGCGTAAGTATATTTTCGTTCAATGCATGGCATTAACAGCATTACCTGTCCGATAATCCACTACTCTCTGCATTCTTCCCGTTTGTTCTGGTGACAAGTAAGCCAAAGTCCCTTCCAAATAATTCCGCTGGGTTGGCTGGGTACCCATATCTGTCACTTCGGCAAGGTTGAAGTCTATCAATTGAGCCCCTATGCGGCCCTTATCCCGCCTCACCACGATATTGTCGGGATTAATGTCTTTGTGTACGACTTGGGCAGCATGGACAATGTCAAGCGCTTCTGCGAGTTGCGTAGCGATATGCAGGAAGTCTTCCAATCCAATTAGTCGACCTTGTGGTTGCTTGGAGGGTGATGGTGGAGTTTGTCTTTTCAAAATCTAAATTTGCCGTTGTGAGGTTCACTGGCGGCGATTCAGTGTTCTGGTTTTTTCGTGGCACTCGCTTGCCCAATGCGAATTCCCGTAGAGACATGCCGCCGTAGTCTTCCAGTATCAGAAAATATTGTCCATTGACGTCTTCCAAGGAAATTGGCTTAACAATTCTGTCTGACAAATGTCCGTCAATGCTGTCATGGCTGAGGCTAGTGCTCCTAGGTCGTCGTCCACCGGGTTTGTGTCGGGTGCTGCTGGTGTTTGGTGATGTGAGGGTCAACGAAGAATCCTCCGATACGGGAGTGAGCGGCTCCCCTCGGGAATAATTCCCGGACGCAAGTATTCTTGATGTTCCAGAGGAATGTGTGTGGTTCTGTGTTCTTGTCAGCTCAATTTCTGCCAAGTTGCTGTGGATGAGATGGAGGATTTCGTATTCATGTTTCAGCTTGATATTTTCTTCTTCGTCGAAGAAGGTATTGCCTTTGCATATTACAGTCTGGTTTGGGTTGTCCACACGACGGACTCGCTGAATAACCAGTGCGGTTCGTGGGTTGAAGTGTATAACGTGCGGGTCACAGTATCCCGAGAGGGTTATGCTGTACTCCATCGCGGCCGTTTTACAGCACTAGGAATTTTATATAGTACCCAATCTCAGATATGAGCTCGGTTTAATGGAGTAATGTGCGACAGAAGCCTAGTGAGAAGTTCTAATACATTGCCGATCTATGTTTTCACGGGAGTCAAGTTCTGTTTGCGAGCCGGTGAGTTTTCTCTTGTCATAAGATGGGGTTGTCCGAAGCTTATTTTAGACTCGAAACAGACAATGTGAATGACGTATAAACTTCAGAAATAGTGCGAATCGGCCCAAATGAACGGTCTGGATATTTCTGATCCTTTCGTGATCCTCAAAACTAACCCCAGCACTGGTGATTCTGCTTCAAAATCAGACTGGCTTTCCCAGACACGGAAGGTTTACAGATCAAAGCAACCAGATGCATTTCAGAGGGACTAGGTGTATCTGGAGGACTATGGAGAGAACAGTTCGCAGTCGCCGGTGGCAAGCAGCAGAGGCTTCTGATGACCGATTTTTTCAAACTCCGATGGGCTTTGCTTACCACACGCCTCGTTAGTTTGTCGGTACCAAACCGGCGGTACCAAGCGATCCGATCGTACCAAATGAACCAGATGGGGCTGTGGTAAGTGTGTGTTGGGTTGCCAACCGCCATCCAACCCTCGGGTTCTTGCAGATCGAACTGGGCATCTGTCAAAAGGAGCGGGTTGGGGAATGACAAGACATGCACTTTGCACGCAATCGATTTAGACTCCCAACTCACAAAGTCTGGATACACAAGGTGCATCAAACCCCAGGTTGCATCTCTCGACGATGGTCATCTGGCGCACCCATCGACCAACATGACGACAGTAAAATATTTCCTTGGCGACTGAGTCGCTCGCCAATCCGGCCCATAGGCCCTCCTCATGTGCCTGGCACCTCGCCGCTAGCGACTTACATTATCAATCCCATAAAACGGGAGCTGATATCGTTCTTTGCAAGGACTTTTGTTCATCAGGCCTATGGTGAATTGTATGTGATCATCTTGTCCACTGTCGGTTTGCAAACGTCTCATTTTATGTCGCAGCTACATAGAATACCAATTTATGATAGGAGCAAGCTATGCACTTGAGCGCTTTTGCACTGTTCTCACTGCTCTATCAAAACCGGGCTCCAGTCGGGACACAGACGAAGTTTTCCGTTCGATGCTTACTCGTCCGTTGTACGATCGTCTCAGCAAAGCGATATCCAACGTTAAATCTAAAGCACAGCAAGTATCGCTCAACTTTCATCTGCACGATGCTCGAATAACCGATATGAAGGTTCAATTTGGGCCGGAAATTGGGACGGCCGCTAGGCCACGGCTGATTCGGATGTCCGGCATCGCTCGATATTACGAACTTGGGCAAGATCATTATTTATTCAAGGGTTTCTCGCTTGGAGCGGTATTTTCCAAAGAGGATGTAGCCACACGTCACATGACGCCATATCAACTGTCAGTAGAAGCGATGGAGGAGGGGGCTATTGTGCAACTGGAGGTCACGTTCGATGCTGAGGTCACTTATAGGCACGTTAGACTAAAGGCAGAACAAGACTCAAGAAACCAAAGTACTGAGGGGATCGGACTAGCGGCGAAGCAGAATGACCCTTCCCAACAAGCAGCGGATCTTGCGTCCAGAGTAACGGAGGATCTGACAAGTGACCTGGTAGAAGATGTCATATCCTCAGAAAGCTGTCGACGCGAAATCGTTGTGCTTTTCGAAGGTCAACATTTTACCCAAGAGGAGGGTCACGAAGGGCGTGCTCTATCTGCGCGCCATTGGCGGATTGCCGACATCGATTTCTTGCTGGAAAGCGATAGATATCTGGACTATGTGCATCATGAAGATGATGATTGACGAAGATTTCACAAGTAGAGATTTCTTTTATCGCATAACTGAATTTATGTAGATACAGCTCTGATGGATAATTTGCATGGTCACATACCGAAAAATAATACGAAACTATGTTCAATAATTTAAGCACTTTTGTACAACTCTTTTCTAGGGTTTACCACCCATCATCCTCCGTAGTTTCATCGAATCCAGGAGCGCTGAGAGGGTCAAAAGTGGCACTTTTCAGTATGAGTAATGGCAGATTTCGCGCGGGAAAGCGTCATACCTGACTTCATCTGCCGTGTCTCCTGCCCCAAAGTTGAGGCCAGATATGGACGACCTGCTGGAGAGCATGGATGACTGGCATAGGCGGTGGTGAGCCCAACGATCGTGATATTGTAGCAATTTCAGGAGTACATACCGTATCCAACTTTTTCATTAGGTCTTCAACTTGGTTAGCGACTGATGGCGCTGCTGTTGCCTTCTCCTGGAAAAGAGCGGTTGAAATTTCAGCACAGTTTCTGGAAACTATGCTGTATGCAAAAACATACTTTTTCTTTTTCTCTTCGTTCTTTCACTATTGAAATATACTTGGCCATCAGGGGATCATTTTCGAGCTGATCTACCACACTGGTCTGCTCCGTTTGCTTGGCTATCTCTGCCTCCCTTCTCTTGGCTTCAGCTCGCTCTTTTTCTTCCGCCTCCTTTCGTCGGGTCTCTTCCGCTTCCTTTTCTTTGCGTTCTAATTCCATTCGACGCTTTCTAGCTTCCTCCTCTTTAACCAGCTGTTCCTTCTCTCGTCGTACGCGCTCGAGCTCGAGGTCTTGTGCTCGACGTTCCTCTTCCCGTCGCCGTTTTTCAGCCTTCTGCCGCTCGACCTCCCGCGCCTCAGCCTCCGCTCGATCCTTTTCTTGCTTTTCCCGATCTTTTTCAGCTTTATCTATATCCTTTTGTGTATGCGTGGATTCTGGCTTCTCCGCTTGCCGTGGCTGAGACATTGATGACGGAGTGTCAGCGAGTGCAACGTTTTGCATTACGCACGGCGCATCCGATGCGTTGTCCCTTTTATGTTCTGAGGGCTGTCGCGTCGCTGCACTTATTTGTGACCTTACATTGCCGACTGTCCCAGGGTTTTCTGCCTTAGTACCGGTTCCGGTTCCTTCTCCCCCAGCAAAACGTGCTGTCGGTTCATCGTTTCGCGATGGACGATGGGTCAGTTCCTCATGAACTACCGGTAATCCCAAAGCGCCCGCCTCTAAGCGCAACCGTAGACCGGCATAAGAATTGTCCTGCCCACTCTCGCTGTTCAATTGCCCAGTATTCTTCTGAAGCCGATAAGTGACTTCCGGTGTGTGAAGCGTGTCGACTTCTGGGAGTCTAGCTTTGGGAAGTCGCTACAGTGCAGGTCCAGCTGGT